AAAAACTAAGATAGAACATCAAAGGCCTGCAGGAATGCTACAATCTTTAGACATACCTGAGTGGAAATGGGATAGTATTGCAATGGACTTTATAGTTGGTTTACCACGAACCATTCAAAAATTTGATTCCATATGGGTTATCATGGATAGGTTGACAAAGTATGCTCATTTTCTACCCATTAACATCAGGTACTCATTGGAAAAATTGACTAAATTATACATAAAAGAAATTGTGAGGTTACATGGAGTTTCATCTAGTATTATTTCTGACCGGGATCCTAGGTTTACTTCTAAATTTTAGGGAAGCTTGCATCAAGCCTTAGGAACTAAGCTTCATCTTAGCTCAGCTTATCATCCTCAAACTGATGGATAATCAGAAAGAACCATTCAGTCCTTGGAAGATTTGTTGAGAGCATGTGTGTTAGAAGATTCTGGTAGTTGGGACCGATACTTATCATTAATTGAATTTACTTATAATAACAATTTCCATTCTAGCATAGGTATAACACCCTATGAGGCATTGTATGGGAGAAAATGTAGGACACATTTATGTTGGTTTGAGACTGGAGAAAATTTAATGTTAGGTCCTGACATGATTCAACAAACCACTGAGAAAATTAAGATGATTAGAGAAAAATTAAGAACAACTCAAAGTCGAAAGAAAAGCTTTGCTGACAAGAGAAGACGACCCCTTAAATTCCAAGAAGGTGAGCATGTATTCTTGAAAGTAACACCAACAACTGGAGTTGGTAGAGTAATGAAAGCTAAGAAACTCACTCCTCGATTTATTGGTCCCTATCAAATTCTTAGAAAAATAGGTCATGTTGCTTATCAAATTTCCTTACCCCCTTTCCTTTCTAATCTTCATAATGTGTTTCATGTGTCTCAATTAAGAAAATATATTTCTGACCCTTCTTATGTAATAATGCCAGATACAGTACAATTAAAGGATAACCTTACATTTGAAACAATGTCTGTACAAATTACAGATATGAAGATCAAGCAACTGAGGAGAAGATAAATTCCACTAGTAAAGGTTGTTTGGAATGAAATTACTGGAGATGCTACGTGGGAATTAAAAAATAAAATCAAAGAAAGTTACCCTCATCTATTTTAGTCGCTAAAAATTTCGAGGATGAAATTTCTGTAAGTATGAGAGAAATGTAACATCTCAATTAATGTAAAAGATAAACATTATCTTATCTTAAAAGATAAACCTTATCAAAATCATAATTAATGCATTTATGATTACGTAATTAAATAAATAAAAAGAAAAAAAATTGCTATAAAAAGGGAGGGGGGAAGGATCCGTAGGGAGAAAGAGAAAGGGAGAGAGAGAAAGAAGGAGAGAGAAATAAAAAGAGAAAGAGAAAGGGGGAAAGAGAAAGAGAGAGGGAGGAAGAGAAAGAGAGAAAAAAAAATTTCTGCAAAATTTTGGTACCTCATCCGCAGTTCTTAAGGTAGGGGAGGAGAATATTATCTTTAAATTTATTTTATTTTGCTTATAGTTGTGGAGTGAGGTGTCCCTAACCTCATTCTATTTATTTAGTTATTTGTTTATTTATCTCTAACTACGTAATGGTCCTACCTTATGCTTGTTTATTTTATCTCCAGTCTTACACTGGTCCTATTTTAATTATCTCCGAGTTATGTACTTGGTCCTATTTGTTTACTTTATTTTATCTCTAGTAATGCAACGATCCTATTTATTAATATATAGTTATATTATTTAATTATAATAATATCTATTTTTTAAGATTTGATGATATTGTAGATGGAGGTTGGACTTTGGGGATTTAAATGAGTAAAATATCACTATGAGAGTGATTAAAATTAGGCTCATTTATCCTGACTAGTTATTACAAATTTAATTTAAATCTTCATAAAGTAGAATGGGTTGAGGAAGATGAAACATATATATTTATATATATTATAAGTTGTATTATTGTAAATGATAAATGTTCTCACTCCCTATTGTGATCTTTTGTGCATGTTTTATTTAAACACCAACTTAAGTAGATGGAGGCGCCAAATATTCCAAATCTCTTTTCTGCAAACGACATTGCCTTCTTTCCAGGAACTATTTGGAACACGAATGTGATAGACAACTTGGTTACTTTTTAGAGGGACAGGATTTTCAATAATAACATTTGTATCCGATATGAAAAATCTCATTATGTTAGATGGGCCGAGTAGTGGTTACCTTTTGTATGGAAAACTCCTTAATCGAGTTTGTTTCCACCGAAATGTAGATACTTGTAAAATTGTAGAAAAAAATAGAAGGAATAAAAAATAAAATTCATTCTTCTTTTGTATATCTTATATAGTGATGTAAATTACTTTTATACATATGTAATTTTTTTTTACCTACTACTCTTATACAAATAATAATAAAAAAAATATCACATAATTTCTATATAATTTTGCATTTAACACTTATTTTAATCTCTACTATTTAATTTATTAGAGTTTTTATTTTATTCTTTCTTAATTTTTATTTTTAATTCGTCTCTTTTTCAATTCCAATTTCAATTCTCAATTTAGTTTTAAAGTTATCACTTCCGGAAATTTTAAATTTAATTACCGCACTATTTTGTTTTAAAAAAATTATTCTTGCACTTTTAATTAAAAATAGTTTATTTTAATTTTATAAATTCTAATTATATAAATTTTACTTGAATTTAATTTTAATTATTACATTATTTTATTTTAAAATAATTTTTTATTCTTGTACTTTTAATTAAAAATAATTTATTTTAATTTTATAAATTTGAGTTATATAAATTCTACTTCAATCTAATTTTAATTGTTATTAATATTCTTTATCAATTTAATTTAAATTTTTATTATTCTTATTTTTTTTACTCTTTTATTCATCTCTAGTTACTGTTTAATATATATATATATATATATATATATATATATATATATTTATTGAGTATGTTTTTATAAATTAGTCGTAATACATTAGTTTAAAATTTTATTTATTATTTTTATTAGTATTTTATAAGAAGAAATTGTACTCGTGCACGTAATTTATTAGTTTAATAATTTATTTATTATTTATTAGTATTTTGTAAGAAGAAATTGTACTCGTGTACAATGAAGACGAGCCTGAACAATCAATTGAGAATTCCGTGAATCCATTACTTATATATTCCACACCTTGTCCGAAGCAAGCTCTAAAGCAATGATGACTTCATAGCATCATGAACACATGCATACCACCTTTGCAGAGCCCACGATAAATGATCTTTAGATATTCTTCCACACCCGAGCTTCCAACCCGTAAATTTAAAACACAGTTGTCTTGTCTCCACAAGAAGAAGGTTATTTAGAGACTGAAATTAGCAACCAATCATTTCATCAGTAATCTGTGACAGAAAAGTTTCTAAATATTTTTAGTATACGTGACTTAACACTCCTGTTTTTATAGCGACCATAATGTTTCAGCGCAACATTTCTGTCGCCAATTGAGTGGTTATGTACCAAAAATTGAATTATTATTTTAGAAACTGATTTCTAACAGAATTTTAATTTTAAGTTGAATTAGCAACAGAATTATAATCGGTCTCTAAATTCTAATAAAAGTTCAAAATATCAACCGAAACATATCAGTCTCTTAGTGCAGATCATTTCTGTCTCTAAAAATCATATTTACAATAAATTAAATTCAGTGTTAGTTTTTGCTATTTTGATATATTTAATAGAAAAAATAACTTGTTTTCGAATAATATAAAATACACTATATATAGTATGTCACTTTTGTGATTATTAATATTATTAATTTATATAAACTTTATTTTTTTATGTTTATTATTATTATTATATTCCATTTATAAAATAATATATTTTTTCTATCTCTCTAGTACATAATATTATTAATTTTCACAATAATATTATTTTAATATAAATTATTATATTATTGAATATATTATTTATGAAATATTCAATATGTCGTAAATATAAAATTAAAACTACTATAAAAATAAAATAGTGACCAAATTTAAAAAAAAAATATAAACGTTTACTGAGAATGAAATTACATAAATTAATATTATTAATATATAAAACTTAAAATATAAAACTTAAAATTACATATATTTTTCTGAGTTATGGTTTCTATTGTTATTTGTATATAATTTGTGTAATTGTGCATCTTTTAAACATGGTAGAGATGTTTATATTTCTTTTGAAAGTGTACTATTTTAAAAGTTATTGGAAATTATTATGAATTAACATTTTTAACTGATATTTTATGTTAAAAAACCGAAATTACATATTAAAGATAGCTTAAGATTCATGCTCAAAGATAAAATATAAACGCTAATATGATTTTTTTTATGTGAAAAGTGTCTAAACACTTCAAATCATATCCAATAAAGTTTCAAACACATTCCATATAAAATAGTAGATAACTGAATGATAAAAGGTAATTTATAAATTAACATGAAAAACTATTGAACTACAAAAAATTGCAAGAAACTGAAAATTAAGTTACTGGCACAGCGAGAATGCGCAAGCAAAAATCAAGCAAGTTTGCTTCGGTTGTGTAAGGGCAAATTTGTAAGAATGTTAATTTTAAAATGTTTGATAAAATTAATATGTTAATTTTGATGATTTGCCTTTAGTTACTCAATTCTAATGTTAACGGAATAAATCATTTCGCATTAAAATTATTGATATTCATAGATCAAATTCTTAAATCATAATTTTTGATATATAGCAAAGTTTGTTTCAATAACGTTCTCGTTAATAACAATTCCCTACGCAATATTTACTCCAATGGTTTTATCTTAAGTAAAGAATGCAATTTGATTGTGAAAAGAGATGTTCCCTATTTGTTGAAGGAAATTCTTGTTAATTAAAAGAAGTTTGTTCCTCCACCAATTTGCATGAACACTCTCAAAATGGTATGCAGGCAACATGAAGTTTCCAAGGTGGGCATCACACAAGAAGTAAGAAATAGATGAACAATGACTAACTGATAAAAGACCTAACTAAGCTTTTAGCTTAGATATCATTTTATTAACTAGTAAAGCTTCAATATGATCCTTCAATATCCCTCCTGCATCTGTATAGTTATCTTCATCTTTGTAAAGCTCATCGATCACTCGTGCATAGTTGACAATACGCTAAGAAATGTCATTGGTACTTGAGTAGGAGCCAGACATGCATCATTTATGTCCTTCCAAGCATTCTCAACCATCTTGTGTAGTTCTTCAACAGCACATTCCCTTGAGGTTTTATGTTGCTTCATATAACATTGGATGCTTGAAGCAACGTGTTTTCTCTGTTGCTCAAACTACGTAAACAGAGAAGATGAAACATGAATAACAAAATCAATATTCAGCAATTATAAAGTAAATGTGTTTCTTTCAATGCCAAAAACAAAAATTTTGCATAAGAAGTCATTTACCAAATTCTTGTAGAAGTAGTTCTGATAAGTGCAATGCTTGCTACTACTTCTTCAAGAAACATTTTCTAAAATTATATATATCAATAGAACTAAAAAACTTGGACACATCATAAAATTGACATGTGATATTAGGGAATGTTTAGAAGCATGAATTAGTGTATACCTCATCTCCAACAATGTCATCCAAGAGTCTACATATAACTGTAGAAGCTGTAACAATTATTGGGTCACTTGTTGCCCACATAAGTACCTCCTCTGTTGTATCTTCCATGCCAAAGAAAGATGTGGTAATCAGCAAAGAGTAAGCACTAGATATTTTTCTTACTTGCATGTACTCCTCCGTTGTTGGAATGTGGTTGCAATGACACCATCTTGCTTCAGCCAACTGAGCCTTCACTAGTCTTTCCATCTAGAGTTCAGTACAAATATATATATAATATTGAGAAAATGTTTTCCACACTTTGGATTGGTTAATATTTATCACTTATACCTCAACTGATAAGATTTGGAACGGGTAAATTTAAATTTAAGTTAATGGCTTTAAGTTCATAAAAACAATTTTTAGCATATATACAAATAATCCAAATTTTTTTTCTAATGAGTAAAACTAACATATCATGGTTGAAGTCCAAAATGGTATATAGTTTATTGAATCGGAAAAGTGTCAAAACTCCCTCAATAGCTCAAATAAAATCATGTCCTCAAAAGAAAAAAAAATTAAAATTAATGGCATTGAGATACACTTTACTTGATTAATTTGTTAATTGAAAAATAATAAGAATAATGTACCTAATAACTTTTGAAGAAAAATAAAAACTTAGTCATACTTCTTTCTTAGCATACTTGATGCAGTATGGTTTTCCTTGTTTGGTGGTCTCGTTCTCTATTTCTTCAAGAACATTCATAATCGCCCTGTAACATAATTTCATGTATTCTGGGAGATCAACCAAACAGCAAATATCCCACCTGCTAGTCATTAGAAAGTTGATGTTTACATATTTGAATATTAGAGTAATCATATAAAGCCACGTGTCGTTTAATGTGCTTAACCTCTGAATTGCATTTGTAAAAAGTTCAAGCTCGTCAATGGTTCCATAGGCATCATACATGTCGTCGATGATGGAACATATTGCGATTGTTTTGGCTGTCAACCTTCTAGCCGTATAATATCGAGGCTCAAAGTACACTCCTAGAATCCAAAAGTAACATTCTACAATCCTATCTCGTGTAAATGGCAACTTTGTTGAGACATTTAATTCCTGTGTCCACCACCTGATTACCAATCAATTATTAATTTCTAAAATAAAGGATCTTAGAGTTCAATTTATTCATCTAATAAACTTAGTTATCATATTTAATTTTGAGAAAGATGTTACCTGCTGAGATCATGAACTTCTTTTTTATGTATCTCCTGCAACATGTTAAAATCTAATTTTGCAAATGTAAGCAAATTTTCATCGTGTATAAGATCTTCTTGGTAGAAAGCCATATAATTTACTGCATCCAGCCTAGGCAATCTCTTGCGAAGTGATCGGAATAAGCTATGCTTCACTTTTGCAGCAAAAGAAGGATTAAATTGGGAAATTACAAACTTATTTAACTGAATAGAAGTAAAATTGTGTGCTTCTTCAAGTATCTGTTCTCCATGAAATCTTAGTTCAGCTGCCTCATACAAGCTCAACATTCCTTGTATATCAGTAGCTACCCTTTCATTGAACTTTTCACTTTGGTCTTTGAATTTGTAAAATACACCTGTTCAATAAACAAGCAACAGATATATAACATGTATAAATATTATGGATTGATGTCACAGATATGACTTCAATGCAATTCATTTTTTGTTGAAATGTAAATATATGTGGTACCATACTCATAGCACATACTTGATGAAACACGGTACCCGTTTTGTCTAAGCAATCGAAAGAGTAAAGCCACCTGATGAAGATCATCATCGCAGGTTATGATATCATTGTTTTTTGTTGAAACGTTGTAAATCTGGAGCAATGCTTCCTCAATTTCTTGTTCAAAATGGTAGGAAACACCCAAGCGTTGAACTGTGTCAATGAAGTTCAATTTCGAAGAGAAATTGTTATCAATAGGAGAAACAAGCATCTTCCTTACGCCTTCTTTTAATACTTGAACTTGTTTGATGTGACCATCAACTTCCTGCAAGTAGTCAAGAAAAATCAAAAATATTATTCAGTATTTCCCCAAACCATTCATCACTATGAAATATTATATGCACGTATCATCATGAAGTAGCTAAAAAGAAAACTAGTACACTAATAAACATTTTTTAAAATAAAATGTAAAATTGATTTCTTTTAGGTAGACAAATATAAATCTAAAGGAATAAAGGAAAGGAAATAATCCCCCCAAACGGAAGGACGAAAATTTGCAGTGGGTCGAATGAGGTTTGAGGGGGAGTTTGCATCATTAACAGAAAGTTGAAGTGATGAGGCTACGTTAGACATGATTGGATTTCTAACATGTGTAATCTCCTACTCTCACCAATGAGACGTCCAAGTTCGCACCTCAAACTGACCGAAAATTAATTTCAAATCTCAATAGAAGACTGGACACTAACTCCTTCAAGAAAAATTCCTTGTTTAGGAGATAAAAAATAAAAAATAAAAAAATCTCCAAAGGTCATGTATGCCTTAAATGATTTGTGCCTTGTGTACTTTTCATCTTCTCTCAAATTTGTTGGAAAATTTAGTACGGTGTCAAACACAATATTTCATCTATGCGTGATAGGTAATAATATGGTGGTGGAATGGAAGGTGATTCTGGGTTTGGTGGTGATGGCGTATCTGGTGTGTAGTGGATCTGCTAATAACAGTGTTATGGTTTGAAGGTGATTGATGACCCGTGATGTGTATGACTACTGTGAATTTATGGTGCCTATGTTTGCCGTTTCTACAATCACATTTTATCATGTGGCTGGTATTTTAATGTTGTCATTAAAATCTATTTGATTGATGTTTTTTAACAATTTAAAAAAAAAAAAAGAAAAAAGTATGAGATTCTACGTCTATGGTTCAAATTCCTTTTACCAGAAGTTTGTAGGATTTGCTTGATGAGGTAATTATTTTTACTGTGATGGGATCAAATTTTTAATTTAAGTAGACATAGCTAATATTAATTTCTCTATTTTTATTTTATGGTTGAAGTGTTTTGCTTGCGAAGTAAACACTAATGTAAATATAAAAATCGAATTCTAAAAATATAAATTATTACTAAAAAAGAAAATAAATGATAGAAGGAGAGTTTTTAAAATTCTCCCCAAAAAACCTCCTCCCTGATCCTCCCCCAACAGCTTCTCAATCAAATCCCTACCCTCAAACCATACCAGGCTCCTCTCGTTCCGCCACGTGGACGAATCTCACGTCCTTGCACGACGCTATATTGCGCAGCGTGCCCTCCTTGAGCAACTAGTTTCTCCCCTTCTTCTCGTGCTCCACTCATGGCCCAAGTGTTTGCTCTCTGCCAAAATCGGCTTCTTTTTATCATAATGGATTAAAAAAAATTGATTTTATTAAAGGGATAAAAAATTTAAAATTTTCAAAGCTAGTTAAATCGTGTTAGGTGAGCAATTTTGAGGATGAAATCTAAGCACACTTTTTATTAAAATTGTATCAAGCACGATTTTGATTTTTTTTTTAAACGTGTTTGATACCATGAATTCTTTTTTTTTTTAAGTAAGATTTTTTTATTTTTAAAATATATTACTTATTAAATAATTATTTTTAATTAAATTATTAATTTAATAAAAAATAAAAATATTTAGACAAACATAATTAAATTTAATTTACTATATTTATATTAAAATATTACACACACACACACACACACACACATATATATATATATATATATATATATATATATATATATATATATATATATATATATATATTATCACATAAAAAATTAATGAGGAGACTTTGTCCCACATGGTGATCTTCTTATTTGTCGTTTTGATCTATATGGTTGATATTGAATAGGTTTTTGTTGTGCTTGTGTAGTACGCTTATGATCCTATGATGGTTGAAGTTAAATGTTTGCTTGCCTATCATCATCATCATCTTCATCTTCTTCATTTGCGTACTGCATAGGAAACATACTTGGTATAATAGTAATGAAAGGTGATTGATTGTATGCTGATAGTGGTGTCATAAAAAAAGGTGGAAACACATGTTTGTTTCAGATGAAAAAACTTGTCCTCCAAATTAAAATAGCACAGGTAAATTTGATGTTGACCAACATATCCAAAATATGGATAAGGTTGTTGATCACTCTACTGATCAACATATTGATGACTACTAACCAACATATTGATGACTCGACTGACCAACACGAACATGACTAGGTTGGCCAATATAGTGGAGTTATTCCTACTCGCTTTGTATCGTAATGTTAAAAAATAAAATCAATATTAGTTTGATATTAATATTATATATATAAAATTAAATTATTGATATACTTACTTTTTCATCTAAATCTTCTTCTTGAGTAAAGGAAATATATATGATAGTATGCTTGAAAATACCAGTATCATATATGTTTCACGCAAGTAGTGTTAGAATCGCGCAGCGGAATGATCGCGTGGTCGGACAAAAACCAAGAGGGGAGTGAATTGGTTTCTTGATAAAAATTAGGTTTTCAAAATTTTCCCCAAATTTTACCGATTAAAAACTGTGTAAATGTAAATAGAGAAAGGGATAGAGTCTTACACAGGAAATTTATACTGGTTCGGATCAAAAGGCCCTACGTCCAGTTGCTAATCACTCAAACAGAGGATTAACGCTGTCACTATAAACAAGTTGTTACAACAGATTACAATTGACAAAATAAAGATAAGAAAACACCTCTCTTGAAATCCACAAGAGATGATGAACAGTTTTCCCTAGAGACGGCACAGCACACAATCCACTAAGAACTCCACTTAGTGATTCTTATCACTTCTAGCCCACACCAGGTTCAGAAGGCCCCTTTTTCTTGCAACAAACAGTTCTCTGGCACTCACAGCACTTAACTTTTGTATGAAAAAGGTTGTTCATTTTTTCTGAGTGCCATAGAAGAGTTTAAGTAGAGAAATTAGGGTTTTGGAATTAGGGATTTCAAAACTAGGGTTCTTGGAAATAGGGTTTTCGAAAATAGGTTTGATTTGAAGTTAAATATCAAAATCTGACTGAAATAATCGATTAAAAGAAGTATTAATCGATTAAAACAGAGCCAAATATCAACAGAACCCAAACCTCTCTGTTTTAATCGATTAAAAGGTGATTTAATCGATTAAACCGCCTGATAATCGATTAAAATTTGGTTTAATCGATTAAACCAGTAAGTTGTTACAGAAAATGATTTTTCTCACTGTTTTAATCGATTATTTCCCTATTTAATCGATTAAAGCCGAGCCTGGATGATAAATATGAGCTTTTTGAAGCTTCTAAGGTGCAGACTATGTACCGGCTATCTTAAACTCTAATATTACAGACTCAATCTAATTGAAACAGAGTTATTACAATACAAAACAAGTCTTCAACACTCTAATTCTTTGTGTTCTTGAATCATCATCAAAATCAACACTCTTCATGTCCATCAAGTGCAACACAAGTCTTTGAATGTTCAACAATAATGTTCAACAATCTCCCCCTTTTTTATGATGATCAAAATTATCTTTTAAAGCCTTGTAATAACCTGTTTACTAGAAACATCGACATTTTTTTAGCTCGACGGAAATTTTATTCTTTTCCTAAAGATTTTATGAAATAGAAATAGAGAACGAAGTAACTAGAAAAAAACATAGATTGTTAGAATACTGCTCTTCTAGAGGGATCATCTAAAAAGCAAGAGATTTTAAACCTATTCATACAAAACAAAAAGGCTGACATAGATGTTATGGGTCAATTTTTTTTTTTTTACATCTCTTCATTTTTTCCGTAAAGGAGCCGAATGAAACAAAAGTTTCACGTTCGGTTTTGAATTAGAGACGTTAAATCAAAATGATGAATCAACGTCGACTATAACCCTTAGCCTTCCAAGCTAACGATGCGGGTTCGATTCCCGCTACCCGCTTATATTCTCTATTTATTCCTATTTAAATCTATCTTTTTTCTTCTAGAATGAATCTATAATTATTAATGAATTTGTCCATTATTCATTTTCATTTCTTAATTAAGTTTTAGTTATATATATATATTCAATTGATTTTTCTTTTTTATTCTATTTTTGGATTCTTTTATTCTAAATATTTGATTGATTCTATATATAATTTCTAGAATTCTTTCTATTTGATTCTTTAATCTTTTTTAGTTAATAAGGTTTAGTTAAAAAGGTTAAAGAATCAAATAGAAAATAGAAGCGTCCATTGTCTAATGGATAGGACAGAGGTCTTCTAAACCTTAGGTATAGGTTCAAATCCTATTGGACGCAAGTTGTTTGCATATCTATATGCAATTTATACCTTGTCCTTTTATTAATTCATTCCATTTTTATTCAAATTCATTATATTATATATAATTCAAATGAAATAAAAAGATATTAAAAGATACTATTTATAAAAATTTGAAAATGAAATTACAAAATTATTTAATGATTAATCAATTTTTTTCTACTTGTTCCTGGAGTAAAAAGAGTTCCTTCTGTTCCTTAATAGCGTCCTTTAAAAGGGCTTCTGCTTCCCCAGTGAATGTCTTGGTAGAAGATATGATTTCTTTGAATTGAGGTTTATTCGTCTTTAAGTAAGCACGTAACTCAACAAGAAATTTCCTTACCTGTCCAATTTCTAATGAATCAAGATAACCATTCGTTCCGGTATAAATAGTTACTATCTGTTCTTCCACAGTAAGAGGAGCTGATTGGGATTGTTTAAGCAACTCGCGCAATCGTTGACCTCTTGCTAATTGATTTTGAGTAGCTTTATCTAGATCAGAAGCGAATTGTGCAAAAGCTTCTAATTCTGCGAATTGTGCTAATTCCAATTTTAATTTACCAGCTACTTGTTTCATGGCTTTAATTTGAGCCGCTGATCCAACTCTAGAAACTGAAATACCGACATTAATAGCAGGTCTTATTCCAGCATTGAATAGATCGGCGGATAAGAATATTTGGCCATCTGTAATGGAAATTACATTAGTAGGAATATAAGCTGAAACATCTCCTGATTGAGTTTCAACTATTGGTAAAGCAGTCATACTTCCTTCGCCTAACTGAGAACTTAATTTAGCGGCTCTTTCCAAAAGACGCGAATGTAAATAAAAAACATCCCCTGGATAAGCTTCGCGACCAGGTGGTCTTCGTAATAGAAGAGACATTTGACGATAAGCCTGTGCTTGTTTAGAGAGATCGTCATAAATGATTAAAGTGTGACGTTCACGGTACATAAAATATTCAGCCAGAGCTGCTCCTGTATAAGGCGCGAGGTATTGTAATGTAGCTGGAGAATCCGCTGTTTCAGCTACTACAATAGTGTATTCCATTGATCCTCTTTCTTGTAAGGTAGTCACCACTTGAGCTACAGAAGATGCTTTTTGACCAACAGCTACATAAACACATATTACATTTTGTCCCTGTTGATTGAGAATTGTATCTGTGGCTACTGCTGTTTTACCTGTTTGTCTGTCTCCAATAATTAATTCTCGCTGGCCCCGTCCTATGGGGATCATCGAATCAATAGCAATAAGTCCTGTTTGGAGAGGCTCATATACTGAACGTCTCGAAATAATACCGGGAGCGGGAGATTCGATTAATCGAGATTCCGAAGCTGAAATTTCTCCTCGACCGTCAATTGGTTTAGCCAGGGCATTTATAACACGACCCAAATAAGCCTCACTTACTGGTATCTGAGCAATTCTTCCTGTTGCTTTTACTGAACTTCCCTCTTGTATCATCAAACCATCACCCATTAATACAACACCAACATTTTTGGATTCCAAATTCAAAGCAATACCTATAGTACCTTCTTCAAATTCCACCAATTCACCCGCCATTACTTCATCAAGACCAAAAATACGAGCAATACCATCGCCTACTTGAAGTACGGTACCTGTATTTACAATTTGGACTTCCATATTATATTGCTCAATGCGTTCACGGATAATTTTACTAATTTCATCTGCACGAATGGTTACCATGAAAATTTTTTAAGTTTCTTTTTTAGAAGAAAAAAAAAATAATGCCTATACTCTATTTTATAATAGAAGGACTAATCAGTTATTTTTTTATTTCATCGTCCCAAACATGCCAATATTAGCACTGACAGTACGTAAATGTAACTCGTTGTTCAAGCAACTATTTAGAGTTCCTAGAGCTCCCTGTAAGGCTTGTTGTAAAATCCGTTGTCGGACTTGATTAATCACTCTTTGTTGTTCAAAATGAATGGCTTCGTTTTTGTAATTTTCTAATTGTTCCAAAGTCGTATAAATTGAATTAATTAAATTCAATTTTTCTCGTTTGATCTCAGAATAGCCATTCACCCGAAACCGATCTGCTTCCGTTTCAACTTTCCTTAAGCGGGCCTGGGCTTTTTCGAGCTGTTCAATGGCCCCTTCCCGTAATTCTTCTGAGTTTCGAATAGTTCTCCAGATTTTATGTTTTCGATTATCTAATAAATCACTTAATGAAAGTAGACTCTCTTTCCATTCATTTCAAAATGTCTATGATCTCTTCCCGAACCAAACATGAATCTTTCGATTCATTTGGCTCTCACACTCAATTACTTATGGGAAATTTCCAAATTTTTTTTGTAATGAGCCTATCCTCTCTTCTCTATTAAAAGTGAAAACAATTACCAATATAAGACCAGAATATTCGGAGGACTCTTTTGACCAAACAAATATATGTCAATAAAGTTGTTTTTTTATTCAAATCCAAAGACTTTTTCTTTTTTTTTTATACATAGGTCATCCATCGATTACGCATTGTACAAAGCAAAGGGGGGTTTCAATTAACAACCCGTTTTTCATTTCTCGCCGTAAATAGGATTCAAGCCATTTTATCGACATGAGTGTTCTATATCGAAAAAAAAAAAATAGAATAATTTTATTGAAACCGTTTCCTTTCTGTATTAACATAATGGTAGAAAGAGTACTACACTGCGTCTAGACTTCAAACTATTTTTAACCATGGTAATAGTCCAAAATGATTGGTTAATAGAGAATCTAAGTGGATTACCAATGAAGCGCGAAATGCTATGGTTCTTTAATCTTTTTCTTAAATTATTCAAAAAAGAAAATGAATTCAGAAGTCATTCGCGGGATTATGCACATTTTATTAATTCTAACTAAACTAAAAAGTGCAGTTTGGTTGGATCCAATTTCTTCTTTGAAATAAACAACTCGCACACACTCCCTTTCCAAAAAAAACCAGTACACCTAACACTACACTAAGATTTATTGGATTTGTTGCTAAAATATCGGTATTAAACACGAAACTTCCGGCGGATGGCCATGAGTCCAAACAAAGGAAAGAATCGATTCTATTTTTCATATTATCTCCTCTTAAGAATAGACTAATTATCTTTCTAAGATTCCTATTCTATATATATATAATATAATAATATAATTTGAATCTATAATTATATAATTTGATAGAATTTGGATTGGTCAATCAATTGGAAGATTCCCTAAAAGAATGATACTTCTTAGAATTAGATACCCGTTCTTTTATCAATTGTAAAATCTATCTAGTTTTAACACTTTCAAAAAATTATCTTAAAAAAAAAAGAGGGGTTCATTGGACTAAAAAAAGAAGAAAGAGGTCGAATAAGTATGTGAATTCCTCACCTTTCAATTAGTCCTTCCCCTGTGTTCTTATGCGAACGGATAAATAATTGTAGGAGTGAAATATTCATATAATTCGAAAAAGGAAGTCCACATATGTATTTCTATCTTTTTAGGATTAAACAAAAGGATTAGCAAATAAAAGCGCTAATGCTACAACCAGCCCATAAATTGTTAAAGCTTCCATAAAAGCCAGACTAAGTAATAAAGTACCCCGTATTTTTCCCTCTGCCTCTGGTTGTCGTGCAATCCCCTCTACAGCTTGCCCTACGGCAGTGCCTTGACCAACCCCAGGTCCAATAGAAGCAAGCCCTACGACCAATCCAGCAGCAATAACAGAAGCGGCAGAAATAATTGGATTCATAATAATTTCCTCGTAACCTAAATATAAAATAAATAAATAGTTAATGATATAATCAACCAATCAATTATGACTTCATTTTTCAATTACCAAGACTTTTACAATTAATAAGAATTACAAATTGAAAATAATAGTTATTGAACGAATTACTTCGAGATTTTTTTTTTCGTCTCGAACTACATAGTTTTTGGGATGAATCTGTATAATCTTTGTTCTTATCTTACTTTAAATTTTGAATCATTCTTTGAATTCTTCGTTTTTTTATACAAGGGAATTGGTCTAGGGTCAATTCAGTAACAAAAAAAATATGAAATTCTAAATATAAATTTCTAACTGTATGCACCTCGTGAAAAAAAAAATCAATCTTTCTTTTTTCTTGTAGAATGAGCTATTCCATCTTTTTTTAGAAAGAACTGAAATTATGTTCGTTTCAAATAAGTAAATATATCTAAGTAAATATATCGTGGTTGCTAAAGTCTATATATCGCATATAGGCTTAAGAACATCCTGACATAACCATCGAGGCGACGTTTGGACCTAAAAGATCGAATGTAATGATACATAGACAAGTAAATTTCTTATGAATTTGGGGATACTCCTTTATTTAATTAATAAATTTAAGGAGATTCCGCATTCGAAGGGGGGTAGACTACTCAAGAATCTTACTTTTCATTTCATTTCTGTCTTAATTGAGAATTGGATAAATAATTAAGAAAATCAATAAGAAAAAAAATAATCCGTCAATGAAATATTAATTGGTATTTCTTGAGAACTTGAGTAAAGAGTAAACCTTTTTTATTTTAGATTAGAATTTTTTTATCGAATTTGATAGAATTTGAAAATGAAAAACCTTTGCTTTTTTTATTTGGTATAAATACTTGAGCCGGATGAGAGGAAACCTTCACGTCCGATTTTGAAAGGGGGAGATCTTATTGGATTGGATCCTATCTCAATTTTTCGTTTGCTAGACCCGTAGTTAAAAAACCCACTTTCTTACGATTACGAGGTTCATTCGAATATGAAATCCAATCTTGGAAACACAGCATACCACTTTTTTTTACTACCCGAGGTTTTGATATATTTCGAAATCGAGAAATTTCAAGCGGAGCTGGTGCTATCCGAGAACAATTAGCCGATCTGGATTTGAGAATTCTTATTGATTCTTCATTGATAGAATGGAAAGAATTAGGGAAAGAGGGATCCCCAGACAATGAAAACGAATGGGAAGATCAAAAAGTTGGAAGAAGAAAGAATTTTTTGGTTCGACGCATAGAATTAGCTAAGCATTTTATCCGAACAAATATAGAACCAGAATGGATGGTTTTATGTCTCTTACCAGTTCTTCCTCCCGAATTGAGACCGATTATTCAAATAGATGGGGGTAAATTTATGAGCTCGGATATTAATGAACTTTATAGAAGAGTTATCTATCGGAATAATACTCTTATCGATCTATTAACAACAAGTAGATCTACTCCAGGAGAATTAGTAATGTGTCAAGAGAAATTGGTACAAGAAGCCGTGGATACACTTCTTGATAATGGAATCCGCGGACAACCGATGAGGGACGGTCATAATAAGGTTTACAAATCATTTTCTGATATAATCGAGGGCAAAGAGGGAAGATTTCGCGAGACCCTACTAGGGAAACGGGTTGATTATTCGGGTCGTTCTGTCATTATCGTAGGTCCATCACTTTCATTACATAGATGTGGATTGCCCGGCGAAATAGCAATAGAACTTTTCCAGACATTTCTAATTCGTGGTCTAATTCGAAAACATTTTGCTTCGAACATAGGAATTGCTAAGAGTAAAATTCGGCAAAAAGAACCGATTGTATGGGAAATACTTCAAGAAGTTATGCAGGGACATCCCGTATTGCTAAATAGAGCGCCTACTCTGCATAGATTAGGTATACAGGCATTCCAACCCATTTTAGTAGAGGGGCGTGCCATTTTTTTGCATCCCTTAGTTTGTAAGGGATTCAATGCAGATTTTGATGGCGATCAAATGGCTGTTCATGTGCCTTTATCTTTAGAAGCTCAAGCAGAAGCTCGTTTACTTATGTTTTCTCATACGAACCTCTTGTCTCCAGCTATCCCGGATCCAATTTCCGTACCAACTCAAGATATGCTTATTGGACTTTACATATTAACGAGTGGGAATCATCGAGGTATTTATTCAAATAGGTATAATCCGCGGAATTGTAGAAATTTTAAAAATGAAAGAATTCCAAAAAAGAACTATAAGTATACGAAAAAAAAAGAACCTTTTTTTTGTAATTCCTATGCTGCAATTGGAGCTTATCAACAGAAAAAAATAACCTTCGATAGTCCTTTGTGGCTCCGGTGGCAACTAGATCTACGCATTATTTCGTCAAGAGAAGTTCCTATCGAAGTTCACTATGAATCTTTAGGCACCTATCATGAAATTTATGAGCATTATCTAGTAGTAAGAAGTACAAAAAAACAAATTCGTTCCATATACATTCGAACCAATGTAGGTCATATTTCTTTTTATCGAGAAATCGAAGAAGCTGTACAAGGTTTTTGCCGGGCTTATTCATATGATATCTAATCATATAGGTGGTTGTATCTAAGATAAACAAATTTATCATACCGGTGTAAATTCAGGTCTTCATGATTTAACTAGGATCCTAGTTTTTCAATTTCTCAATTTCTACACAAATAAAGATAAGGAAAAGGCAGTTTTTCAATCATTGACTCAAACCCATTGTTGAACTGAATCAATCCCACTGAGTGGAATAGGGAGGTATTTATGGCAGAACGGACCAATCTAGTGTTTCACAATAAAGTGATAGGTGGAACTGCCATTAAACGACTTATTAGCAGATTAATAGATCACTTCGGAATGGCATATACATCACATATCCTAGATCAAGTAAAGACTCTAGGATTCCGCCAAGCTACGGCTACATCCATTTCATTAGGAATTGATGACCTTTTAACAATACCTTCTAAAGGATGGCTAGTCCAAGATGCTGAACACCTAAATTTGATTTTGGAAAAACAGCATCATTATGGGAATGTACATGCGGTAGAAAAATTACGCCAATCCATTGAGATATGGTATGCTACAAGTGAATATTTTCGACAAGAAATGAATCCTAATTTTAGAATGACCGATCCCTTTAATCCAGTCCATATAATGTCCTTTTCGGGAGCTAGAGGAAATGCATCTCAAGTACACCAATTAGTAGGTATGAGAGGATTAATGTCGGATCCACAAGGACAAATGATTGATTTACCTATTCAAAGCAATTTACGCGAAGGGCTTTCTTTAACAGAATATATAATTTCTTGCTACGGAGCTCGTAAAGGGGTTGTAGATACTGCTGTACGAACATCAGATGCTGGATATCTTACACGTAGACTTGTTGAAGTGGTTCAACATATTGTTGTACGTCGAACAGATTGTGGTACCATTCGAGGAATTTCAGTGAATACTAAGAATGAAATGATGCCGGAAAGTAGTTGGATACAAACATTAATTGGTCGTGTATTAGCAGACGATATATACAGAGGTTCACGATGCATTGCCGTTAGAAATCAAGATATTGGAATTGGACTTCTCAATCGATTTAAAACCTTTCAAACACAACTAATATCTATACGAACTCCTTTTACCTGTAGGAATACATCTTGGATCTGTCGATTGTGTTATGGTCAAAGTCCTACTCATGGTCACTTGGTGGAATTAGGAGAAGCTGTAGGTATTATTGCGGGCCAATCCATTGGAGAACCGGGCACTCAATTAACATTAAGAACTTTTCATACTGGCGGAGTATTCACAGGGGGTACTGCAGAACAGGTGCGAGCACCTTATAATGGAAAAATTCAATTCAATGAGGATTTGGTTCATCCTACACGTACACGTCACGGGCATCCTGCCTTTATATGTTATATAGACTTGTATGTTACTATTGAAAATGGTGACATTATACATAATGTGACTATTCCACCAAAAAGTTTTCTATTAGTTCAAAATAATCAACATGTAAAATCAGAACAAGTGATTGCCGAGATTCTCGCAGGAACATACACTTTGAATTTAAAAGAAAAAGTTCGAAAACATGTTTATTCTGACTTAGAAGGCGAAATGCATTGGAGTACCGATGTGTATCATGCATCAGAATTTAAATATAGTAATGTCCATATCTTACCAAAAACAAGTCATTTATGGATTTTATCAGGAAAATCAGACAGGTTCGGTTCGGTCTCTTTTTCAATCCGAAAAGATCAAGATCAATTGAACATTCATTATCTTTCTACAGGAGAAAGAGATATTTGTAACCTTTTAGCAAGTAATAATAAAGTAAAACATAAGTTGTTTCGTTTCAATCCTTATGATAAAAAAGAAAGAAGGATTTCAGATTATTCAACATTTAATCAAATCATATGTATAAATCATTGTCATTTTACACATTCTACTATTTTTCATGATACTACGGATTTATTAGCAAAGAGGCGGAGAAATAGATTCAATATTCCATTTCAATTCCAATCGATTCAAGAACGAGACAAAGCACTAATATTAGCTTCCAGTATCTCGATTGAAATACCAATCAATGGTATTTTTCATAGAAATAGTATTTTTGCTTATTTCGATGATCCTCAATACCGAACACAGAGCTCGGGAATTACTAAATATAGGACTATGGATATCAATTACATTTTAAAAAAAGAGGATTTTTTAATCGAGTATCCTGGAGTTAAAGAATTTAAGACAAAATACCAAATTAAAGTAGATCAATTTTTTTTCATTCCCGAAGAAGTGTATATTTTACCAGAATTTTCTTCCATAATGGTACGGAACAATAGTATCGTTGAAGTAGATACACCAATCACTGTAAATATAAGAAGTCAAGTAAGTGGGTTGGTCCGATTGGAGAAGAAAAAAAAAAAGATTCAATTAAAAATATTTTCCGGGAATATCTATTTTCCCGGAGAAATGGATAAGAGATCCCGACACAGTGCCATGTTGATACCACCGAGAACGGTAAAAAAAAATTCAAAAGGATCAAAAAAAAAAATTCAAAATTGGATCTATGCCCAATGGATCACAATTACGAAAAAAAAGTATTTTGTTTTGGTTCGACCGGTAATTTTATATGAAATAGCAGATAGGATCAAATTAATCCAATTTTTTTCCCAAGATATGTTCCAAGAAAGAGATAATCTGGAACTTCAAGTTATTAATTATATTCTTTCTGGAAATGGAAAATCAATTCGGGGAATTTATAATACAAGTATTCAATTAGTTCGGACTTGTTTAGTCTTAAATTGGGATCAAGACAAAAAATTTTCTTCTATCGAAAATGCGCATGCTTCTTTTGTTGAAGTAAGTATAAATGGTTTGGTTAGATATTTCTTAAAAATTGACTTAGTAAAATCCCATATTTCATATATAAGAAAACGGAATGATCCGTCCGATTCCAGATTTATCTTGGATAATGAATCAGACTGGACCAACATCAATCCATTTTTTTCTATGGATCCGAGGGAAAAAGTTCAACAATCACTTAGTCAAAATCATGGAACTATTCATATGTTGTTGAATAGAAATGAGAAATGCCGATCTTTTCTAATTTTGTCATCATCTAATTGTTTTCAAATACGATCATTCCACGATGGAAAATATTACAATGGGATAAAAGAAGGAATTAATCTAATTCAAAGATATCCTAAGATTCCAATTAAGACTTCGTTAGGTCCTTTAGGAATAGCCCTTCAAGTTGCAAATTTTTATTTTTACCATTTAATTACTCATAATCGGATCTCGATAATTAAAAATTTGCAACTTGACAAATTAAAAGAAACTTTTCAAATATTAAAATATTATTTAATAGACGAAAACGAGAGAATTTATAAACCTGATCTATCTAGTAACATCATTTTAAATCCATTCTATTTGAATTGGAATTTTTTCCATCATAATTCTTGTGAAAAAAAAACGTTTCCTATGATAAGTCTTGGTCAATTTATTTGCGAAAATTTATGTATAGTTCAAACGAAAAATGCACCACACCTTAAATCGGGTCAAATTCTAACTGTTCAAATGGATTCTGTAGGAATAAGATTGGCTAACCCTTATTTGGCGACTCCTGGAACAACTGTTCATGGCCATTATGGAGAAATACTTTCTGAAGGAGATATATTAGTTACCTTTATTTATCAAAAATCGAGATCAGGTGATATAACACAAGGTCTTCCAAAAGTAGAACAGGTATTAGAAGTTCGTTCGATTGATTCAATATCAATAAACCTAGAAAAGAGAGTTGATACTTGGAATGGGCGTATAACAAGAATTCTTGGCATTCCTTGGGGATTCTTCATTAGTGCTGAGCTAACTATAGCGCAAAGTCGGATTTCTTTGGTTAATAAAATTCAAAAAGTTTATCGATCCCAGGGAGTTCACATTCTTAATAGACATATAGAAATTATTGTGCGTCAAATAACATCAAAAGTATTGGTTTCAGAAGATGGAATGTCTAATGTTTTTTTACCCGGTGAACTAATTGGATTGTTGCGGGCTGAACGAGCAGGGCGTTCCTTAGAAGAGTCGATTTGCTATCGAGTTCTATTATTGGGGATAACAAAAACATCTTTGAATACTCAAAGTTTCATATCTGAAGCAAGTTTTCAAGAAACTGCTAGAGTTTTATCAAAAGCCGCTCTCCGGGGTCGCATAGATTGGTTGAAAGGTCTGAAAGAGAACGTTGTTTTAGGGGGAATGATGCCAGTTGGTACCGGATTCAAAAGAATAATACACCGTTCAAAGCAAAGGCACTATAACAAGATTACCTCGGAAACAAAAAAAAGAATTTATTCGAGGTGAAACAAAATATCTCTCATTTTGTCCTCGAATAAATTCTTTTTTTTGTTTCAAATAATTTATGTGATACATCAAAGCAATCTAAGATTTCATAATTCCTAAAATAATGATTCTTAAGGTCGCATTCATCTCCGGTCACTTTATTTTGTATATATTTTGTATAATAAAAGAAACATAAGAAAGAGAATAATCATATTCAATTCAATAGAAAAAATGGCCCGATCATTTATCAATGGCAAATTTTCAGTAGAAGAGAAGGTTCCTTCGGAACACTTTTTTATTTCTATTTCAGTATACTGGGTCTCTTTGTTTCATTTCAAAAAATTGATATCATTTCTATTTTGAAATGAAAGAAAAGTGTGGGGATAAATATAAATGACAAAAAGATATTGGAACATAATTTTGGAAGAGATGATGGAAGCTGGAGTTCATTTTGGCCACGGTACTAGAAAATGGAATCCTAAAATGTCACCTTATATATCTGCAAAGCGTAAGGGTATTCATATTACAAATCTTATTAGAACTGCTCGGTTTTTATCAGAAGCTTGTGATTTAGTTTTTCATGCAGCAAGTGGGGGAAAACAATTCTTAATTGTTGGTACAAAAAAAAAAGCAGCTGATTCAGTAGCACGGGCTGCTATAAGAGCTCGGTGTCATTATGTTAATCAAAAATGGCTCGGCGGTATGTTAACGAATTGGTATACTACAAAAACACGACTTCAAAAGTTCAGGGACTTGAGAATGCAACAAAAGACGGGGAGATTCCATAATTTTCCAAAAAAAGATGCCGCTATATTGAAGAGACATTTAGCTCAATTGGAAACATATCTTAGTGGCATTAAATATATGACGGGGTTACCTGATATTGTAATAATCGTCGATCAACAAGAAGAATATACGGCTCTTCGAGAATGTATAACTTTGGAAATTCCAACAATTTGTTTAATTGATACAAATTGTGACCCGGACCTCGCCGATATTTCAATTCCAGCTAATGATGATGCTATAGCCTCAATTCGATTAATTCTTAACAAATTAGTTTTTGCAATTTGTGAGGGTCGTTCTAGATATATACGAAATTCTTGATTAAGAATAAGATAAAAAGTGAATGAATTTACTTCAAGGGATTCATAGATTTATCGAATCAGTTACTATACTAGTAATAAATTGCACAAAAAATAAAAAGAAAATCTAAAAAGAACAAACAAAAATTTTCTGTAATTAGTATCGGTATTCAAAATCCAAAATGAAAGTAGACAAATCAAAAGGGAAAGGAGATGTTTGAATCAAAATAATTCCCTTTTTTCAAGTTCTTATTTTTTTAGAGGACAGGACAATATGAATGTTTTATTATGCTCTATCAACACATTAAAAAGATTATACGATATATCTGCTGTGGAAGTAGGTCAACATTTCTATTGGCAAATAGGGGGTTTCCTAGTACATGCCCAAGTACTTATTACTTCTTGGGTTGTAATTGCTATCTTATTGGTTTCAGCCATTCTAGTTATTCGAAATCTGCAAACCATTCCCGCTTTCGGTCAGAATTTCTTTGAATATATTCTTGAATTCATTCGAGACGTGAGCAAAACTCAGATTGGAGAAGAATATGGTCCGTGGGTTCCTTTTATTGGAACTTTGTTTCTATTTATTTTTGTTTCGAATTGGTCAGGGGCTCTTTTACCTTGGAAAATTATACAATTACCTCATGGGGAGTTAGCTGCACCCACAAATGATATAAATACTACCGTTGCATTAGCTTTACTTACATCAGTTGCATATTTCTATGCGGGTCTTTCAAAAAAAGGATTAGCTTATTTTAGTAAATACATCCAACCAACTCCAATCCTTTTACCGATTAACATCTTAGAAGATTTCACAAAACCCTTATCCCTTAGTTTTCGACTTTTCGGAAATATATTAGCTGATGAATTAGTAGTTGTTGTTCTTGTTTCTTTAGTACCTTTAGTAGTTCCTATACCTGTCATGTTCCTTGGATTATTCACAAGCGGTATTCAAGCTCTAATTTTTGCTACTTTAGCTGCGGCTTATATAGGTGAATCCATTGAAGGCCATCATTGACTAGTTTTCTAAAAAAGAGTCTTTTTTGTTTAGCTTGCCACACATATATAGTCGCTCAAGAGAATTCACTAAGTAAACATCTATCTATATATCTATAGATATATAGATAGAGATAGATCTATTTGATTAGCATATATTAGTAGATATTGGATATTCGAAAAAAAAAATGAATAGCTAGAATTATAATTTTGTATGATATTTACGTTTACGACGTGTGATAAAAAGATACTATATAGAACTAAAGTAGATTCCCGTTTCATTTACATTCAACGATTGATCAAAAGAGAATTAAAAACATTTTGATCACCCCAATTCCGATATTTCTTTGAAACAATAATGAAATCTAACGAATTGATTTAGATTGATTGTATCCATATGGGATAATAATAAAAGAGGAAAGGGTAACTTAAAAAAAACACGATAAAAAAAAGTAGAAGTGAGGGGGTCAAGCTGGGTGTATATAATCTGATCACTATAAGATAACTCTTTCTTTGTTTTTGAGGTTTCAAAGAATGAATTTCGAATTCAATTGAATCTAAAACACAAAGAAAATGAGTTTACAGCATAGAAGAAAAATGAGTTTACAGCATATAAATGTAAATAGAGAAAGGGATAGAGTCTTACACAGGAAATTTATACTGGTTCGGATCAAAAGACCCTACGTCCAGTTGCTAATCACTCAAACAGAGGATTAACGCTGTCACTATAAACAAGTTGTTACAACAAATTACAATTGACAAAATAAAGATAAGAAAACACCTCTCTTGAAATCCACAAGAGATGATGAACAGCTTTCCCTAGAGACGGCACAGCACACAATCCACTAAGAACTTCACTTAGTGATTCTTATCGCTTCTAACCCACACCAGGTTCAGAAAGCCCCTTTTTCTTGCAACAAACAGTTCTCTGGCACTCACAACACTTAACTTTTGTATGAAAAAGGTTGTTCATTTTTTCTGAGTGCCATAGAAGAGTTTAAGTAGAGAAATTAGGGTTTTGGAATTAGGGATTTCGAAACTAGGGTTCTTGGAAATAGGGTTTTCGAAAATAGGTTTGATTTGAAGTTAAAAATCAAAATCTGACTGAAATAATCGATTAAAAGAAGTATTAATCGATTAAAACAGAGCCAAATATCAACAGAACCCAAACCTCTCTGTTTTAATCGATTAAAAGGTGATTTAATCGATTAAACCGCCTGATAATCGATTAAAATTTGGTTTAATCGATTAAACCAGTGAGTTGTTACAAAAAATGATTTTTCTCATTGTTTTAATCGATTATTTCCCTATTTAATCGATTAAAGCCGAGCCTGGATGATAAATATGAGCTTTTTGAAGCTTCTAAGGTGCAAACTATGTACCGGCTATCTTAAACTCTAATATTACAGACTCAATCTAATTGAAACAGAGTTATTACAATACAAAACAAGTCTTCAACACTCTAATTCTTTGTGTTCTTGAATCATCATCAAAATCAACACTCTTCATGTCCATCAAGTGCAACACAAGTCTTTGAATGTTCAACAAGTAGCCATTTCCACTTAACTCATTTCCTTGAATTAGTCGATTGTGATGGTCATTCCACATAGTAATCCAAGTTTCATGGTATTGAAGCCAAAATATATCAGTTTTACCTCTCATGTTTTCCTTGTGAAGTTTGTCAAGATTGATCTAGTCTTCTGGAATTGGTTGGTGAAAGTTAAATTGTCTTATAACCTGATTTTCTTGATGAGGCTCAACAGTAACAAAACATATCATTGAAACTATAACACGACTCACAAAAGAAACATCAACATTTATTAATCGTTATAACCAAGGACGATGATAAGGAGTCCAAAAAACAACATTATTTTATAGAACTTGGGAAATTAGAATTATTATCATTTCCTCAAAAAAATGTATGCATGAAAACAGATAGAGGCAAAGGAATATTGTCAGTTTTATAATTAGAATATCTTGATTGGAATTATCTCACCTCAGTGTACTGTATTCGTCATATTGCCTCAAATTTCAACAAAAATTTCAAAAATATTGATTTGAAAAGACAACTTATCAATCTAGGTAACATCTTTTAACGTAGGTAAATTCTTTTCTCTAAATAAAATATGTCTAAAATTATATTTTTCTATGCAGGATATGAGATTAAATAACTCAAACTCTTAGCAAAACTATTTGCTTTAAGGTCTAGCTTTGAACAACAAATGTCCTGGTTCTATAAGATCTCATTGGAGAAATGGACTCAAGCTTATGATGGAGGAAAATGATATGGACATATGACAACAAATCTTGCTGAGTTTATGAATTCTATTCTTAAAGGGGCACGAGTTTTATCTATATTTATCTTAGTAAAAACAATTTTTGAAATAATTAAATCTTGATTTGTGGAAAGAGACATGAAAGCAGAGTATATATTACGAACTGAATATGAGTATGCAGAACATATCACTATACAGCTTAATGAAAATGAACAACGTCCTCAAATGTGTTGTTTAAAGGTACAATCGAGATAACTATAAGTTTGGCGTACAGATCAATTCAATCCTCAGCATTGTCGAAGATTGATAAGCAAGATAGTTTGATTAAATCAATGATAGTGTGATTGTGGGGAATTCCAAGCTCTTCGACTCCCTTGTTCTTATGTTATTGTTGTTTGTTCTTCTTGTCATTTACAATTGATTGCATTTATCGATCCAATTTACAACGTACAAAACATTCATAAGGTATATGAATTTCAATTTCATTCGAAATGAAGATTATTAGTCTACTTACACAAGTCCAAATTTTTGTCCTGATCCTAATATATATCGAGACACATCGGGAAGACCTACAACTAATCGCATTCGAAATGAAATGAATGTACAAATTGAAAATAAATCAAAAAAATGTTCCTTTTATTAAAATGAAGAACATAATCATACAAACTATCCATTTCGACAATAAATTTGTATATTTTTTAAATAATGTAATATTTTAATATAAATATAATGAATTAAATTTAATCATATTTATCTAAATATTTTCTATTAAATTAATCATTCAATTAAAAATTATTTAATAAATAATATATTTTTAAAAAAATCATATTTAAAAAAATATATGAGAAACTTGTGCTAAATAATACGAAGTCAATATAGCGGCATTTATACATAACTTTGTTAGCATGATGCGAATAAAATTGTGAGCCACTCCGTAAGTGTTGGCTACATGTGGAAGCCATATTTACAACTTGCGTGTCTGTCATGCTCGTGTTGTACCATTCGCACGCTATGCTCTTGCTATATGACATATTTATTTACTACAGTAGGTTAAGGTTTGCACATCCTGCTAGAGCTCCTCGTATCCTTCAAAATAATTGGACGAAGCCTTTGGTGGGTTTTGTGAAGTGTAATATCAGCAGAATCTCCGAGAATGGCAGCTTGTTGTGGCGGCATATATTCTAATGGAGACTTTCTGGGACTTTTTTCTGCTTTTCTTGGCGTCTCTTGAGAATTCACACCCACAGTGTTGGTGGCATAAAATTTGGTTAGAGCGTGATTATTGGTTATTAAAGATTTTAAGGATCCCTCACATTATTCCTTGGATAGTGCAAAATAGATTATCACTTGCTTACATTTATGTAATTGAGATAGTTAGTTTGAGTGGAATGTATATAAATGTCAATAGTAAAAAAAATAGTTTTTTATTTGTTAAGTGGTAAAAAATTAATATAATTATGTCCCGAAACTACTTAATTTATGTTAATTCTCATCTATTTTTCTCTCAATATAGAATAAATTCGAGAATACCTTGATACAAAAGTAAATAGCATAATTAGAGTAAAGCTGGAAGAAGGAATAAGATTTTCACCATAGAAGTCGTTCGAGCGGGATGAACTCTCGCTTGAGAATATCAGTTATTCTTCTTTGGAAATCATTCGCTCAAGCGCAGGAAGATTCGCTTGAGCAAATGTTAATTATTCTTCTCTGGAGTTCACTCGCTTAAGCGAACATTTTGTCGCTTGAGCGAAAACATGCAACTTTTTCCTGAGCGAAAGTTCTCGCTCGAGTGAAAGACGCGAAGCCTAAAAGCCCAAAATTTTCTTACAAAAAGAGAAGATGTGTTTCGAGAAAAACAAGCAGTTTTGGAGGAGAAGAGGCGCGACTACTGCTAGGGTTTCGTCCAATCTTCATCAATGTTTCACTTCTTCCACATTTGGAACATTATAATAGTCAACATGAGTGACTAACTTCATTCTCTTGGGATTGGATGCATTTCATTTGAACTCTTTTGCATCATGGTGATATTTTGAGATATTAATCTATGTTTTGATGTTATTAGTCTTATCATTTGTATTTTGGAATGATTTATTCTTGATGTTTGGGGTATGATTGAAAAATATATCTTGAACGGTAAGAATATTTGTTACGTTAATTGGCAGGAATTGAATGAATGTATCAATTGTTTAACACCCTAAACCTAATCTCTGGAAAATCTCTTAATTGTGTGAGAAATCAACATTTATTAGGTTTTCTTATAAATTTCATGTGTGAGGAATCAACATAAATAATTTGAGTAGGTGACATCAACATTGTTAGGTTAATTAACATTTTTAATTGATATAATCATTACAAGATAGGGATAAGAAAGAAAGTCAATCCTAAGTACCTCTAATTGATATTTTCTCAATAATTTATAGATCTTTGTCATTTAATTTTAATTCAACTCTTGTTACAAAACTCATGTTTTAATTCACTTAATAAATATAATTAGAAATTTTTATTAAAATTATTTCTCGTAAAATCAACTTTTATTTAATCAAAATATTATATTTGAACTAAAAATTTTGGTATACTTCCAAATCATTCAACATTATTATAGAATATTCAACATTATTATAGAATATATGGTATTAAAGTATGGCCCCCATATTTAATGTCAATGTTTAAAAAAGCGAAACAAAGAGAACTGCTTAACACATTATCTTATTAATTGTTGTGTAGTGTATCAGAGGATTTCGTTGGTGAGATTATTGAAAACCCTGAAACATGGCTTTGGTAGCTGCTCGGTAGCTGAAATATCCCATCTGCATTATTTATCAATTATTAATAATTGTTTTTCTTCTCATCTTAATTCCACACTAACTATTCAACAAATCTTTAGGTTTAATTCAATTTTAATACGAAATCTTGTTGAAAAAGGAAATTTCATTTTCTTTATTTTTTTTAAAAACAAACTTTGAAATTATGACGATATTAATTAAATTATCGTATTAAAATCTTGTTTTAATGTTTTATGAATTTTTATTTTGATGTTAAAATATGAAGAAGAAAATTAAAAAAAATTATGGACAATAGAATAAATTTTAGTTTTCAAAATTTAAATTTAACAAAAGATATTAAAAATTTTTGTTAACGTTATGTAATATAAAAAACAATATATTTATTTTTATATAATAATATTAAATAAAAAAATTAAATAATTTATAAATAAAAATAACTTATAATCTAAAATTTTAAGTTAAAAATAATATTATATTTTCTTGTATAATTCATTTACGTCTCATTTATTAAAATCTCTCCATTAGTCTCACTTGTCAGTTATATGAAAATATAATCTTGACATAAAATAATTATCAAAAACGCTCATTATTAACTCTATTAGTATTGGTCACAAAATCTTGACTAATACTGATTAAGAAATATTTTTTAGTCTATATAAAAAAAAAAAGTGATTTAGTGACTAAAATAGAGACAACATTTATCAAATTAAAAAAAAAATCAATTATTTTTATTTTTGACATAGAAATATATAAATAGAAATTATAATATATATATATATATATATATATATAAATATGAATAGAATAACTATTTTCAAATAATATTCAGTTAATTACATATTATTTAAATTTTGATTGATTGATATGAGATTTTGAGTACAATTAATAACCAAAATAGTAATTAAAAAGTTTCAATCACATTTAGCCACGAAAATAACAACAAAACTTAATTTTATCATTATCTTATTAGTGATCTATATTATTTTATTTTTCATTATTTTTTTATCTATGAACATTTTTAAGTTAATTATTTTTTTTATAAATGATGTATTTCATGTATTTTCGTTATATGTATAACATAATTTAATTTCTTTAATTTATTATATTTTACATAATTTTACCATAAAAATATACGAGCATATATTCCTATTATATATTTATATTTTTTTAAAAGAGAAATATAATTTGATAGAGGTCAAATAAAAACGGTAGAGAATTCCATCACCTCGAATCCAAATACTAATAATTTTTAGATGCATAAAACAGTTATTAGACTTTAGTTTTCTTTTCTTAAAATCTAGATGTTATGAAAATATACAATAATAATAATATAATGTATCTTATTTTGTAAAAATAATCCACATGGAATTTGTATGTCTAGTTCTTTTACCTTTGATGAGTTCAGATAAGTCCTCTCATGATTTGTTATATTTTTCTTGTGGAAGATCCAAGTCTACCCTTCCATAAAGGATTTTTAGTAGACTTGTCAGATATACATTTTATATGTGAAAAAAAAATTATATAAATTAATTATAATTTTAAATTATAAAATTGTGTTTTATCTAATTGTGGCTAAGTCGTTCAAACATTTACTTTCCATGTTGTTTATCCGAAAGTATATAAACTCCTACACATGTATGATAGTGACAGCGTGTAAATGCATGGTAAGTCACGTGCATGCCACACCTCACTTTCACATTACAAACAAAACTATGTTGAATAGTCACAGACTGTAATTTCTAAGAATAATTAAAAATTATTCTAAAATTAAAACTAAATAAATAATTAAAAGTTTATTAAAATTATTTTTTATTATATTTTTTAAAATTACAATTTGATTCCAATTTTAGATGAGAAAAATTGAAATAATTAATTTAATTTAAGTAATATAATATTATAAATGATTATTATTTTTAACAAATTATTTTATAATTTTGTTATATTTTATTTATAATATATCTATATTTATTAAAAATATTATAATAATTTTAGATTATAATTTAAAAAATTAGTAATAATTATAAAAGAAGTACAATATCTTTTTATTTTAAAATTTTTATTATAAATGTTTTTACTTTTTAAAATTATTTCATAATTTTACAATAATAAAAAATAAAAATTAAATTATAATATTGATTTAACTTATTTCTAATTTTATATCAAACTATAAATAAATTAAATTTAACCTCATTTAATTTTTATGGAGATGGTTTAATATTACCTTATATTATTCCTTTCAAAAATGTTAAACAGATATAGACTTTTTTTATGTATGACAACCACTTATTCTCACAAAAATGTCCAAATATAAACTTCTTTTTAATGAATGTTATAATTTTTTATATGACAATACACATATTTGAAATAGCTTATTATTTTAATATTTTATATAGATTTTTAAATAAGCATACACGTACCAGAGCCAGGAGAAATTGTGCCCATTATCTCCAGTCAAAATGAAAAAATTATAATAATTAATTTTTTAAAATTAAATAAAAATATTTTTAAAATATAAATAAAAATAAAAAACTGTTTAATTTATAATAAATATCATTTTAACTTTCTTTACACAATTTTCTATTTACATTTCTTTCTTATTTTTATGTTCATATTTTTATATTTTCTCCTTTCACATTTTCACTCTCTCATTTCAATTTTTTATATATCCTATCCTTCCACATTTATATTTTTTTTTTCTTTCTCAATTTCATTTTACATTTTTTCTTTATTTTTTATTATTTCTTTTACAATTCCACATTTATAACATAAAAATTATAAATTTTTATTGTTCATTTATTTTTTATTTTCATGTTAAAAAATAAGTAAACAAAATTATTTTTTATAATTTTTATTCTTCGTATATGTAATATAATATAAAAATATAAAATATTAATATCAATTTTTTATTTAGTATAAATTAGATAATTATTTATAAAATATTATAAGTTATTTTTCAAGCAAAAAATAACAAAATAAACTTTAATTTCTAAGATTAAATTAAAAAAGTAAGTTGAACATTTTATTAAGAAAATTCACCCTCATTTAAAATTTCTAGTACTATTTAAGAAAACCTAATTATTGTATAAATGTTTATTAAAGATAGAATATTAAAAAAATAAAAAAATACAAATTTAACATGTCAGTACGAGAAATTGTTCCCTGATTCTATAGACACACTGATGCATGGAGCCTATTATGTAAATAGAAATGATATATATATATATATATATATATATATATATATATATATATATATATATATATATGAGAGAGAGAGAGAGAGAGAGAGAGAGAGAGAGAGAGAGAGGACATCAGAGTCCATCCAACTGATAGATAAACCAAATTGAAAGGTCCATCCAAAAAAGTGCAAAGGCAAAAACAGAGGGTCACTTATTAAAAATAGAGTTAAAACTTGTAAAATTTTAAGCCTCTGTTTGTTTCCACTGATGTATTGTTCACGAGGAGAGAAGTGCGAGGATGACACACATTTGGTTGAACAGATTTACGACGAAATGAAGGCGAGGAAAAGGGGAAGATGGGAGAAAGAGTTTCCTCGTCGATGCACGAAGAAAAGAGATGAAAGTCTCCTGGACAAATTGAAATGTTCAACTTACCCTCTTCCATGCGAGAGATATTCTTATATTAATTACTGCAAAAAGTTAAGAAAATACATATATATTAATTTTCAAATATAAAATATAACTTATTTTAATTAATATATATATATATAATTTATATTAATTTTCAAAATATAAAATATATATTCCAAAATATAACTTATTTTAATTAATATATATATATATATATATATATATATATATATAATTTTACATGAAAATAAATTCAAATTCGGAGTCTTAAGATAGCGGTTAATCCGGAACCGCTATCGGATGTAAACATATGATAGCGGTTCCAGTTTAACCGCTATCTAAGGTCTCAAGGAATTGAAAATGTGATCGATCATATTTGCAAAGTAATCGATCAATTGAACGTTTATATCTTCTAAAATATAATTTATTTTCATTTCTATAATATATATACAAATGAAAATAAGTTATATTGTGGAATATATATTTTATATTATAGTAATTAATATAAATTATATTTTAGAATATATATATATATATATATATATATATATAATTTTCTATCAAAATTATATATTCTAAAATATAATTTATTTTCATTTCTATAATATATATATAAATTTTAGTAATATTGTGAAATATATATTTTATATTATAGTAATTAATATAAATTATATTTTAGAATATGTATATATATATATATAAATATAATTATAGATCAAAATAAATTCAAATTCGTAGCCTTTAGATAGCGGTTAATCCGGAACCGCTATCGGATGTGAACATATGATAGCGGTTCAGCTTTAACCGCTATCTAAGGTCTCGAGGAATTGAAAATGTGATCGATCATATTTGCAAAGTAATCGATGATTTCAACGTTTATATCTTCTAAAATATAATTTATTTTCATTTCTATAATATATATACAAATGAAAATAAGTTATATTGTGGAATATATATTTTATATTATAGTAATTAATATAAATTATATTTTAGAATATATATATATATATATAATTTTCTATCAAAATTATATATTCTAAAATATAATTTATTTTCATTTCTATAATATATATATAAATTTTAGTAATATTGTGGAATATATATTTTATATTATAGTAATTAATATAAATTATATTTTAGAATATGTATGTATATATATATATATATATATATAATTATAGATCAAAATAAATTCAAATTACGTAGCCTTTAGATAGCGGTTAGTGCTGGAACCGCTATCGGATGTGAACATATGATAGCGGTGCCGGTTTAACCGCTATCTAAGGTCTCGAGGAATTGAAAATGTGATCGATCATATTTGCAAAGTAATCGGTCATTTGAACGTTTATATCTTCTAAAATATAATTTATTTTCATTTCTATAATATATATACAAATGAAAATAAGTTATATTGTGGAATATATATTTTATATTATAGTAATTAATATAAATTATATTTTAGAATATATATATATATATATATATATATATATATAATTTTCTATCAAAATTATATATTCTAAAATATAATTTATTTTCATTTCTATAATATATATACAAATGAAAATAAGTTATATTGTGGAATATATATTTTATAATATAGTAATTAATATAAATTATATTTTAGAATATATATATATATATATATATATATATAATTTTCTATCAAAATTATATATTCTAAAATATAATTTATTTTCATTTATATAATATATATATATATATATATATATATATATATAAATGAAAATAAGTTATATTGTGGAATATATATTTTATATTATAGTAATTAATATAAATTATATTTTAGAATATATATATATATATATATATATATATATATATATATATTATACATCAAAATAAATTCAAATTCTGGAGCCTTTAGATAGCGGTTATTCCGGAACCGCTATCGGATGTGAACATATGATAGCGGTTCAGGTTTAACCGCTATCTTATATATATTTGTAATAGCGGTTATTCGCTGGAACCGTTATCTAAAATCTTGATTATTTGACAAATTATATATTCTAAACACGACGTAAGGAGGTAAGTCATGAACGAAGTCACGGTCCGTACATGCAGAGGTCACGGGTCGTACATGCAGTGGTCACGGGCTGTACAGCCAACTTCACGTGTTCACAGCTGATAGAAGTTACAGGACTTATTCTTTTTTCTCTAGTTACAGCCGATAGGGAAAGTTATTGTATTATATAAAGCAAAGCTAGTCTCATAAGACTAGCTAAAAGACTCTAGCAAAGCAAAGCAAAGTTACTCTGTTGTAGGTTGGATCTTCGCCGGCGGCCATTAACTTCGGTGTGACCTTGTCCGACCAACAGCTTGCTTGGTATATTGTCAGAGGAACACCCCAGGTATGGTTCTGTGTCCTGTCTGTGATGGTTGGAACATAAAACTTGGTTGGTACGTTTGTTTTTGGAGTTTGTGTGCATGCATAAGAGTGTGTGTGACCATTCAGATTTGAGGTATAAAACATGGCCAAACCTTAGAGGTTTCTGACTTGTGCATTGGTTATGTTGTTGTTGCAGGCTGTATCTTAGAGGAAAAAATGAGATTATTTTTACTTACAAAAAATGAGATTATTTTTGCTAGGTCAACTTCTGTGATTGTAATCATATCTGTCCATGCATAATGCAGTATCTGAAAGACTATCAGACATTTGTTAACACTGCTCGTTGTTGGACTGAAAGTTTTGCCAAGGAATCGAGTCGCGGGATTGAAGACAAGGTACCAAGCTTGTTGTCCCATTCTATATTATTTCTAAAATCATAATTATACTTATAATAACTAAATTTTACCATATTTTTTATGTATTGTTTTGTATAGATATATAAATATTTGTAATTTTACAATTTTAAATTATTATTATTATTATTATTATTATTAATTGAGTATATATTTTAATTTATTATATTTATATTAAAATGTGCATGTAATAAAATATTTGATCCTTTTTTAAGGAACAAAATTCAGTTTTATTTTGTTAAACTCAAGATCAGTGGACCAATCGGTCACATGCAGATGGTAGATTTAATTATCATCCTTAATTAGATATAGCTTTTTTGAAAATTGTATAAGAAAATGATGAACCCAAAACTTTCATTTATTGTCGTACTTTTGATATGGATAATGCAAAATTCTGAAATCTAAGCATTTAGGTATAAGTATTATGACAATACTTACATATGATAACTTTATGACACTTGCAATTTCTTTTTAATCTGGTACAATAGGTACAGACTGCAACAACAAATGAGAATTTGCTGTAAATAATTATTAGTAAAAATATTAGAGGAAAAAAATTAGAGGAAAAAAATTATTAGTAGTTTTGTAAATAATTTTTGGTTTTGTGATACTTGGTTTGCAGATGGCAATTTTGAATTACTTCCATTAAACATTAATTAATTATATATATATATATATATATATATATATATATATATATATATATATATTTTGCAGATGGCAAACAAAAACATTGAGGTCATTGGTTTAGACAATGACGATATAGATACTGGTCTGGATATAAACATGATTTCACATATACAAAGTGAGATAAAAAAGCGAAGCGAAATAGGAGCGATGACAATTCTTTGTTTGATAGCTTATGGATTAAATATGTTGTCTATGGTAACTTGTAGTAGCAGTAACATTAGGGACTTTATTTCTGAAAAAAACGTCACCGGCACGAGTTGATGTCATACCTTATTCATACTGAACAATCTCGTCACATTATTCGCATGGGACCGGAGGCGTTCATTAACTTGTGTCAACGAGTAAGGACAACTGGATTAGTAAACGATGGGTTACAATCAACAAGTGGAAGAACAAGTGGCTAAATTTCTCCATATTATCGGACATAACGTTAAAAATCGAACCGTTTCATTTTTTTCCATCGATCGTGTGAAACCGTTAGTCGACACTTTCATAACGTGTTGAATGCGATAATAATGTTGGACGAACAATTAATTGTTCAACCATCAGGAAGGGATGTGTGTCCGTATATATTAAGCAACAACCGATTTTACCCCTACTTTAAGGTGATCTACTTACCAACTTTGTGTCTATATAACATACACATAGATTGTCTAAACTTTAATCACAATAAATTTTTTTACCAATTAGGATTGTTTAGGGGCAATAGATGGAACTCATGTTCGAGTTAAAGTCGCAAGATCAGATGCCCCTCGTTTTCGTGGAAGAAAAGATTGGTCAACACAAAACGTATTTGCAGCTTGTGATTTCGACATGAAATTCACATATGTTCTAGCAGGGTGGGAAGGAACAAAGATCTCGATTCAAGAATATTAAAGGATGTTCTTACCGGAGAGGATCGCCTTATCATACCACAAGGTTTATTATTTATAACATGCGGATTTTGTGTATAGTCAACTAGTTTAAATATTCTAATTAGTATAACTTCAATGATTTTAAATAGGTAAATACTACTTGGGGGATGCTGGATTTATGTTAAAAGCGAACATAATGACCCCTTATCGAGGCGTTAGATACCACCTTAAAGAGTATTCTCGACGAGCTCCACAAAACCCCGAGAATTGTTTAACCATCGACATTCGTCTCTTAGAAATGTCATTGAAAGAACATTTGGAGTTTTGAAGAAAAGATTTCCTATAATAGCTAGTGGAACAGAGCCTCATTATTCATTTGATACAATGACGAATATAGTCCTAGCATGTTGCATTCTACACAATTTTCTTCAAGAGATAGACAACGATGAATCACTCGTTAGTCGAAGTGGATCGAGAGTTGATGGAACAAGATGTGGATAATATGTCAACTCAAGTTCTGGGAAGAGGATTATAGGGAAGGGTCAAACTTAAGAGATACTATAGAAAATCAAATGTGGATAGATTATCAAAGTTATTAGATTTTGTATGTAATAATATATTTAATAAGATGTACTATTGTTATTGTTGAAATACGATTACATTACGATTATCTATTTATAATAATTATATGTTGGTATCGTAATTACATATATTATCTTTCCAATAGGTTTAAAATGAACAGAGGAAAGGATATTGCACCGAATTCGTCAACCGTAGTGCACGAGTTTACAAAATGGACTCGATGACATGGACTTTCTAGTTGTTGATCGCTATGCTTGATGAGGCAAGGTTGGGTAATCGGGTTGATGGTAGTTGGACAACCCAAGCATATAATAATATAGTTGAATCCCTAAGACAGACCTGGATTAATTGGTATAACTAAAAATAATGTTAAAAATCGACAAAAAAGTCTTAAGGATAGATGCATGGAGGTCCATGATTTGTTTCATGGACTTAGTGGATTCGCTTGGGATGATATCACAAAATGGTTTGTGGTCGAGCAAGAAGTATGGGATGACCTAATTAAGGTACTATTATATGAATTATCATTTGTTGATATAACAAAACATAACAATTACGAGTGTTAACCATTCTCATTATTTTGTAGGCGAAGCCTTCTGCAGCCTAAATGGAAACTGTCAACTATAAGACATTATGATTTGATGGAAGAATTGTGGGGTGCTGATCGAGCCGATGGACATATGGCAAGAACTTCGCGTCAAGCCCGAATGAATATCGGTTCTCGAAGGGCAACAATCGACTTGAATGTTGATGTGGACCCCACACCGGAGGAGCAGACCATTTCACTTTGGCTTTGATGCGGGATTTGATACAGCCTTATCGATCACCTCCACGCATGGGGTCCAACAGATCCCGCGAGGGTGCTCACTCAATTCCATCTGTTGCGCTTCATCGGTTCGGTGGAACCTCTTCATCTCTGGGCACAAAAAGAAAAGCGCCTATGGTTGATGTGATGGAAGGTCAATTTGACAAACTAGCAACGAGGTCGGACACATTTACAGATTACCTCGAGCAAGGTAATACATTGACCCAACGATTATCCGACATAGCCGAAAGACAGTGGTCGCCATTGAACGCAGTAAATGATTTAATTAATGAGCAAGTTAATGTGATGAGACGATCATCAACATTTCAACATTCTGAGTCGATATATGGGACATGTTAGTCTAGCATGAACCTAAATGACGAGCAACTTATGCTTCAAGTGTTATAATCATTTCGTGTACTCACGAATCACATGTTAGACGACTTTTTGGCTTGCCCTCACATCTTCGTCTCTCCCAGCTTGTTCATGTTCTTGAGTGGAAGTGATTGAATGATCTCGAACTCGGAGGACTTGATCGCAAAAGATGGATAACATTATAATTATTTGTTTGAAGAGCATTAGTGTGTATAAGTTTATAATTTAAGTAATGTTTCATTTAATTATTATTCTATTTTCACTCGTATTTTATATTTGTTTTAAATAATAAATGACAATTATATTATTGGTTTTCATAATTATTTGTTATTATCAATCAATATTAATTATTATTTTATATTTTATAATTATTTAATTATTAGTCAAATAATTTATTTAATATGTCAAAATTATTTGAATATGGATATGCAATGTACATAATTTTGTAATTGTTTATTTATATAATTTTTAATAACTATTTAAAAAAAGTTTTTTAAATTTGTATCCAATTACAAGCACTTTTAAATTTGTTTTTTCTTTCAAATATATAATCAATGTTAAAATATGGATAATTAATTAAATAATTATATTTATAATCATTTGAACCTTATTTTATACAAAGGGTAAAATGGTAATTTTCTTAAATAATCAATTAAAATTATAATTTTTATATCTCATATCAATCAAATCATTCACAATTTCTCATAAACTTTCCTTTCACTTTCTATTCATCCAAACAATTTTAATTTCATCTCCATTTCTCTTCAAATCTCTCCTTTTCCACTCTCTCATTTCCACTGTCTCACATCACTCCAACCAAAGCCTAAGTGAAAAAAAGTTTAGAAAACTAAACAAGGTGATGAGATTTATGACTTAAGGTTTAGAAAACTTGCAATTACTAACCCACCACCGCTTTCCAATCAAACACAACACATACTAGTAGTAGAGGCCCCTTCTTGACTTTGAAACACCATATTTATTACCACAACAACCTCTTCCATTAGATTAGAATAATCCCACACTTATTTCTTCCCCCACCCATTATTAAGACACTGCTAGCTACCTAAACCCTTTTTATCTTCACACAATCAATGCAAAAGTTGTTTGTATGCAAAAGCTACCTATAGGACCACAAATAAAAAATATTTTTTTATTTATTTTTAGTTAATATAACTTGTTTATATATAAACAAAAAACAATTTTTTACTTGTAGACCAATATATATAATATTTTAAATTTTATGAAAAATATAGATTATTTTTTATTATATTTGTTATGTTTTTTATCTATTAATTTAATTTATATTTATTATTGTAAAAAGCATAATTGAAATATATTTAAAACTACATTCAACTTTAAATAATAAAAGATGAGGAAAATATAGAGAAATGTTGACAGATAAAACAAAAATATGTATAAAAAGAGGTAGCAGAAATATATTTCTGTCAATTTTTTAAAAGAAAATATGTTTGGTGACATGACAATAGAAATGGAGACAGCTGTTTTTGGAAACAGGTATTTGTGAGGTGAAGCACATGCATCTCTCTAGACCTGTACACTGCCACACTTGTCCGACTCTCTTTTTTTAGTGGTCTGCACCACATTGGTACGTATACTGTCTGTTGTCGCTTTTATCTCTTTTGTTAAAAAAAAATGGAGAAAAAAATAAATTATTTGATTAAAAATTTATATAATTTTTTTTATTATTTTTAATTATTCATATGTATTCAAAAAATTATAATTAATTATAAAACCTCATACTCTATAACAATATTAAAATATTATTTTATAATTTGTCCTGAATTATTGTTAAATATTATTTTTTCTTAATTTTTATTTTTTGTCTTATAATTATAGGGTTTTTTATTTTTTATATAATTAATTAATTAATAAAACATTATTAATATTCCATTTATTCTAATATTTTATATTTTTTATAATTTTAAGTTTTTTAATATCTGTACTTTATAATTATATATAAAGATAATTTTTTAATTAATGAAGATAAAAAATATATATATATTAGAGTTAAAAAAGTAATTATTATAATTTATATATTTAAAAAATAGTACAAATACAAAAAATGTATTTAAAAAGTGAAAAAATAAAATAAAATTTAAAATAATAGTTTAAAAGAAATTAAACACAAAGAAAATTCCTTTAAGTGATATGTTTTTTCTTTTCTTTTCTTTTCTGAACCTTCCTACTCATTAAATCTTTTTATCTCTATTTCATGCTCTCTTAGTTTACCAAATAAAGAGGTTGTGGTCATGATAGATAGATCCTTCGATTCTAAAATTATTGTCACATTGGATTGTCATGACCTGTCAAGATATTTTAACACTTTGATATTTAATTCTTTTTCATCGAAAGTCTTACCAAGACCTATTAAGTGATTGATGATGTGAGTAAAATGCTTCTGCACATCTACAATGTTTTTTCCAGATTGCATCTTGAACAGCTCATTCTCTGACGAGGGTGTGTTTTCTAGCTCTCTTTACATCAGTTGTTCCTTCATGGGTCACCTTAACAACTTCCCATATTTCTTTAGTAAATTTATATTGAGATACCCTGAAAAATTCATGTATGTTAAGAGCAGATGTTATGATATTTTTTGCAATATAGTCATACTGAGTTTTCTTCTTTTTATCATCATTTAATGCAAACTATTCTTTATTAGTAATTAATGGACCTAATTCAATAACATTCCAAATGTTCTTATTAATGGATTCAATAAATATCTTCATTCTGATCTTCCAAAATTGATAATCTATACCATAAAACAGTAGAGGTCTATTGATAGAAGCTCCCTCAGAAAAAGGTAATTTGTTTTCAGCTATGGAAAAAAAAAAGTTAGGACTGAAAGTCTTGAGTAACTTTCAAGATCCTGCTCTTAATACCAATTGTTAGAAATATAGGTTGAGATCATGAGGGGGTGTTGGTGTTTTGGCAAGCGTGCCAATATTATCAATCGCAGTACAGTATTTCAATTAAATAAAAGTCGATCTCACGACAAACGATGTCACTGGAAATTCCAAATCATATACTTACTAAGTGTATTAACCAAAACTGTGTTTTTCATAAATAGTGGAATTGAAAACAAACGGTAAAAAGATATAAAATGTATTTAGAAAATATGAATTATGAGAACTTAGGATTGACTTACTTCCTTTTTCCTCATTTGTATAATGACTAGGTCAAATTAAGAACATCAATTAACCTATCAATGTTAATATCACCTACTCAAATCATTCACATTGATTCCTCAAACATGAAATTCATAAGAAAACCTTGTAAACATAGATTCCCCATACATTTAATAGATTTTCCAGCATTAGGTTTAGGATGTTAAGTAATTGAAACATTTATTACCAATCCTAGCAATCAATGTATCAAATATTCTTAACCTAATCAAGAGTTTCAAGATATATTTTCCAATATATATGAACATTCAGGATAAAAGCATTAACAGACACAAAGGATAAGAATAACAACATCAAGAACATAGATTAATATCTCAAAATATCACCAAGATACAAAAGAGTTCAAAGGAAGTGCACTCAATCCTAAGAGAATGAAGTTAATCACTCATGATGGTCATTACAATGATCCAAATGAAGAAGATTGAAAATAAATTAAAGATTGAATGAAAACTCGATCAGCTACCGCGTCTTTCTTCTCAAAAACTCTCAAAAATCCTTTCTCAAAACGCATCTTATCTATTTATAGAAAAATTTCGAAAATAAAAAACACACAATTACAGAATTCGAAAATACAATTTACATTCAATCAGTTTTGAAAAAAGAATTTTGAGCAAGGCAACAAAGCACTTTTAGATTTTCTAAGAAAAATTTTCTATATTGCCTTCTGTGCTTTCATTGTTAATCACATTATGTTCTTGGAGGTTATCATTCTACAGGCTTCTACAAGTTGTCTCCATTACCCAGGTGTGACTGTTTTTATTTTTATTACATTCATCATTTGTGGATTCATGTTCTTATCTTACTCTTTCATTCTTTGTGGGTTTAAGAGATTTAAGTTAATCAATTGTGTTATTCATCCTTTGATTTATTCAGAGGAGGTGTTCATCCCTAGTGTAATTCTAGGAAGGTGTTCATCTTTTGTGTATTGGTGGCAAAGGAGGTGTTTTTCATTCCTAGTGTGATTCTAGAAAGGTATTCATCCTTAGTGGATTCTAAGGAGGTATTTTCATCCTTTGATTTGTTCAGAGGAGGTGTTCATCCCTAGTGGGATTCTAGGGAGGTGTTCATCCCTAGTGGGATTCTAGGGAGGTGTTCATCCTTAGTGAGTTTCTAAGGATGTGATTGTCTTTTAAATTAGTTTGTTTTTTGCTGAGTTGATTGTAATTTGTTAACTGAATTTGAAAGATAATGAATTGGGGGTCACTCTTGTGATTAGAGTTGACTGGGAATTGAACGTAAGGTTGGTTATACCTGAACCAGTATACCTCCCTATCTCTCAGTACTTACGTTTCACCCTTTTTAAATCTCTGATTATATTATCACTTTCGCTTTATCTTTGTTAAATTTGATAATTAAAATTGAATTTATAAATATTGGACATCTTAAAATAAATTTTTAATTTGGCATCTATTTTAATTTATGCATCTATTCATCCCCTCTAGATGTCATTTGTCTAACACTATTATCATAAAGTGTTATCACTCAATTTAACTGTGTTTTTTGTTCACTCCTCTCTTGGGTTTCAACTAACTTCTCCAATTCAGCTTAATTCTTAGTTCTTCTCATCAATTCCTTTTTTACAATTATACTCATCATCCCAAAATCACTTATTATTGGAAAAAAAAATTCAAGTTCCATATTTGAATTAGACAATGTTATAAATACTAATTTTAAGGTTTTTATATCATAATTAAAATTTTATTTTGATAATATATATATATATATATATATATATATATATATATATATATTAACAAATTATTGAAATAAAGTTTAAAAATCTGATTGAAGAATAATAATAAAATAACAATAATATTGCGTCTGAACATTTTTTTCTACATAATCCATTATATACAATAATATAATAATTAAAGAATATATATATTAAATAATTTTCTTCCAAGTAAATTACAATGGTTATAATATTCTTAAAACTTAATATAAAATAAAGGCAAATGTAATAATTTAAAATAAGTAGGAAATTTGTGTAGAAATTTAAAAGCCATAAAGTTACTGCGTAAATTGAGAAAAATTGATGTGGTAAAAAATGTAGTGTGCTCTCTCGTTAAGGTTGATGTTTTATTAAAGTGGTTGTTGCATTTTGGGTCTGCTCGTGATTTTTTGAATTGGGCTTCTACATTACTTAAATAAATATAATGGGTTTGCATATAGTGTTTTGTTTTGTTCTGCACAATTTCCTTGTTGCACCTCCTATATACTTTGGGTCAAAATTTGCAACATGGGCCCTTTTTAGTGTAGCCTAGCACTGAAAACAATAAAAACACGTTGTCAAAAACTTTTTTATTTTGATTAGTGAAAATGAACGTTTTACAGTTGATGAGTACGGAACGCAAGGAAGGAAAGTTGTGTCCTCGATGTAATAACTGTATTTATTTTGATTTTCTCAGTAACATTTCTTTTTTCTCTCTAAAATAACATAATTCTTTTTACATAATTTACCATGTTATAATTTTAAAAAATATATATGTTTTTGGAAAAAAAATTATAATTATAATAAATAACTAAAAAATAATATTAATAAATAAATAAAATTTAGTTTTTATTTTATTTCTATTCATTTTTATTCTCTTTATCTAAAGATCCTTAATTATTATTATTATTATTATTGTATTCTCATTTTCACTTTTTCAAATCCATTGTTTTCAATCTAAACAAAGCATAAAGAATTTGTAAAATAAAGTTCTTTTTTTTACAAATATGTCATACTTTTGAAATAATTAACAGAAAAGTTAATAGTCATTATATTGAGAATTCATTATGAAATGATAATGTAAAAGTTTACCATATTATTGGTTTATTTTAAATAATTATAATAACTTTTTTTATCTGAACTATTACTTCAACTGTTATTTGTCTATAAGTTGAACATTAAATTAATGTATCAACAATACCAATGTGATTAATTTCTTAATAGTGATGACTCTTTGTCTCAATATTTGAATTAACCTATTTCAGCTATTTTCTTGATCTCATTCAGAATATACTTGGTAAAAAAATCTTATTAAACTATTAATTAACTAATTATTAAAACAATAGAAATATAGAACGTCATGATGGTCAAAAGTACGTGACTAGAACCTTTATATAAAACATTGTTTCAGAACATATATAATATACAATATAAAGAAATAATTTAATATTAATTGTTAAATTTAATAAAAGAAAAGTGCTAGAAATATGAAATTTCCTAAACTATGATGTTGAATAAATTTGAAGCAATGTTTGGGTGTAAAAAAAATTATGTTCCTATTATTTCTCTTTTAATCTTTTAATTCAGTAAAACCAAATAAACAATTTACATAAAATATAAGAATTGAATTTTTATGTGTTTAACAAATTGCAGTGTATTCATTTTCAAATATCAGGAAAGAAAAAATCATGTTTTTCAACGGTACTTAAAACAAACCGATGCAACCATTATTAACAAACCCTCACTCGACACTCTCTTGTGCAAGAAATAAAGGAAGAGAGGGGAAACTACCGAATGGCGACGACGTCGTCCAGTGATTACAAAGACCAAGGCGGCGATCGGTCACGGTCGCCGCTCATTCCTGCGGCGAAGAAGCCTGCCGGAGAGTTAGCGGAGAAGCTGTGCATAGACGAGATGCTGCAGAAGTACTGCGGCGAGTTTGGGCGGTGGCAGCTGAGGCACTTCATGCTGACGAGTATGGCGTGGGCCTTGGAAGCCTTCCACACGATGGTCATAATTTTCGCGGACCACGAACCGGAGTGGCGGTGCCTGGACGGTGCGGCCGGTTGGGGTTGCGACCCAGACGCGAAAAGCGTGTGCTGGTTCGAACCGGGTTCGTGGGAGTGGATCGGGAACTCGACCGTTACGGAGTGGGGGCTGTTTTGCGAGGACAAGTTTAAGGTCGGGCTGGTTCAGGCCGCCTTCTTCGGCGGCTGTATGATCGGTTAGTTTTCTCTTTCTTTGTTTACTGTTTCTCTCTCAACTGTAATAACTGCACCTATATAAGTAACTTTTATTAATTTTTGCATAACATGTTCTCAAGTTTTAAAATTTGTAACCAAAAAAATAATAAAACTTAGTTATATACGGTAGATTAATAAAAATCAAATGCCATGGTAATATCTCATTGAACAGAATCAAAATCTAGAAACAAATAACTACAAATTCATCCAAGGAAAGAGCAGCAAAAGGCCATAACATATATAAGCTGTTCTGGTGAAACACTGTCACCTCTGAATTATTCCACAACAAATATTCTCCCAGAGGCGGTGCTATTTACTCTCTCTCTCTCTCTCTCTCTCTCTCTCTATATATATATATATATATATATATATATATATATATATTTCAGAAACACTGTTCTTTTACGTAGAAATAATTTTTGTTGTAACAATTTCAGGTGCTGGAATATTCGGTCACCTCTCAGACTCGTTCCTCGGAAGAAAAGGCTCTCTCACAGTGGTTTGTGGCCTAAACGCCATTTTTGGCACCTTGACAGCCTTCTCTCCCAGCTTCTCATTCTACATCCTCTTCCGCTTCCTCACAGGCTGTAGCACAGGCGGCGCCGGCCTCTGCGCCTTCGTCCTCGCCACGGAGCCGGTAGGCCCCTCAAACCGCGGCACCACCGGCATGTGCACCTTCTACTTCTTCTCCTCCGGCATCGCGATCTTATCTGCCATCGCCTACATCTTTCCCACGTGGCAAAAACTCTACATAGCCTCTTCCATCCCCTCCCTCTTGTTCCTCCTCTTCATCCTCCCCTTCATCTCAGAGTCCCCAAGATGGTACCTCGTTAGAGGAAGAAAATTGGAAGCAATGCAAATCATGACCGCCATCGCCACTACCAACGGTAACCACATCCCAGAAGGGGTTGGTCTAACCCTAGACGATGATCAATCACCACAATTACCATCACTGTCAGCTTTATCATGCAATATGCAAGAACAAGTATTAGCAGAGGTCAACTCCTTAAAGAAATCTCAGCATCTCGAGAAATTAGTCGCTGACTCGACTCTTCTGGACTCGTCCAAGGGACCATCATGCCACGTGGCGGTGACCGGATCGCTCCTCGACGTCATTCGCTCGCCCATGACACGTTTGAGGTTGATCCTCGCCGTTGTCATCAACTTCCTATGCTCGGTGGTGTACTACGGGTTGAGCCTAAATGTGGTGAACCTGGGAACCAACCTGTACCTTACAGTGATACTCAACGCCGTGGCAGAGATGCCAGCGTTTATGATAACGGCGATGTTGCTGGATCGGTGGGGGAGGAAGCCGTTGACCATAGCGACGTTATGGTTCAGCGGCGCGTTCTGCCTTGCGGGGAGTTTGGTGAAAAACGTTGGGGTGTGGAAGGGTGTGAGAATGATCTGTGGGATTTTAGGGATTTTCGGGATGGCGGGGACGTATAATCTGCTGTTCATATACATGGCGGAGCTGTTCCCGACGGTGGTTAGGAACGCGGCGCTAGGGTGCGCCACACAGGCGGCGCAGATGGGTGCAATACTGGCGCCGCTGGTCGTCGTTTTGGGAGGGTCGTTGCCGTTCATTGTTTTTGCTCTGTGTGGAATCGGTGGGGGATTTTTTGCGTTTTATCTGCCGGAAACGCTGAACCAACCTCTCTATGATACGTTGACGGGAATGGAGGCTAAGCAAAATTGTGTTACCTCTTCCATTGTATGATGGGGTTTTCATCTTTCGTTTTTGGTACTACAGTTTTTCTTCTTCTACGTGTTGTTTCTTAGATATAATTTTGTTGTTTCGGTTGGAATCTACGCTTGTGTTTATCTATCTTGTAGTTTATTGTTGTTTGGATTATTGAACTCTTCCTTTTGATTGTTCTTTGCGTGTCAATCGTGTTATTTCCTCAGAAACCAAGAAAACGAGTGTAATTTGGTACTGTGGTTATTACTTAGGCATTAATTCATTCAATGTATAAATGAAAATAAAAAATTTATATACTTTATATTAAGATTAAAAATAATAAAGAGATAAGATCACAACCCAATTAAATCATGTATTTTTTTTTCATCAATGTTTTCATTCTCCTTCTTACTTAAAAACATTTTAGAAAGAGTTATAAATAAAAGTTTAAAAATAAAAAAATATTTTTTTATAATAAATTTTATACACAAGTTGTTTAAAAATTAATCTAAACTATTTATATTAACAAATTCCTTTCTATTCTAAACATTTTTTTCTAGTTTTAAATAATATATTTATGATGTTCATAAAAATAAATTTATTTTTATTTTTAAATAATTTTTTTATTAATAACTCCTTCTAAAAATACTTTTAATCTCAATTATTCTTATGTCATGAGATTAAAACAAAATCATTAATATGTTTTTTTTGTTTTATATTTTTTTAAATTACTATCTCTATTTTATTTACTCATCTTATTAATGAATATGAAATCAATGATTTTGTTTAAATATTGTGATTTAATTTAATTGGATTTTAATATCAATGATTTATTATTTTCTTTTTTGTCTTTACCAAAGGCTAATAAATTGTTTGCTAATTTCTCATTTCAAGAGATTTCTTATTTGAAATTGTTTATATATATATATATATATATATATATATATATATTCTTATTAATATAATTAAATCAAAGATTTATAAATAGTTAAACATTATGTATTCTTTTACGAGCAAAATAAAAAATAAAAATTGATGAGTGCATTAATCATTGAAATTTTTTAGCTAGTATATACTAGCGTAAGTAATTAATTAACTAATTAAAAATGTTTAGTTTGTGGTTAATATAATTAATATAATTTTTAGCTACTTTTACAAAAGTAGTAAATTGTCATTTCACTCTAATATTTTTTTCTTCTCATTTTTACTCTTCTTAAAGAAAACACGTTTTCAATGTCTATCTTAAAAAAAATATACATCAACTGGAGAAAGAAAAGTTTTGGATTAAATTTTCATACTTCTCTTCAAAATACTTGATGGGTGTTAGTTGTTTTTTTTATGGTGATTTGAACGTGTATTTATAAATTTTTTTAATGAACATTATATTATTTTTATGATTAAATTTTCAGACTTCTCTTCAAAATACTTGATAAGTGTTAGTTTTATTATTATTATTATTTGAACGTGTATTTATTAGATTTTTTTAAAATGAACATGAAATTACTTTTATGTATATAATATTTATATTTTATAAATATGATTTTTATTAATCAAACTTGTTCCACATTCTGGTGGGTTGTATTTATTTATGTTTTGTAAAACAAAACGTTGTATATTGGCTTGTATTCGCTACTGTGGTGCTTCAATTTGTTATTCTTTTGTGTCTTATTTTTGTTATCACATATTTTGAATGTAATTTAATTAAAAATTTAAACAAACATTTCTTTATTCCTTTAAAGATATTATTAAACAACAAATGGTGACTAAAATTAAATTTTAATAAAAAACAATGGAACAATAAAAAGGCTACTTCATTCACAATAACCTGTCATCTTTACAACAATCTTCTTATTTGCTGAATCCATTTAGCTCGCAAGTATAATAATTATATACACATTTGCGGTTATAAATTCAACCCTACACTTTAGAACATAAATGGCGTCGGAGAAAATGTTGGTATCATCGTCGGCATCGAAGCTCCTGACCTGCAAATTATTAGATTAAAAATCATTTCAATCTTTTTTAAACAGATGAATTCTTATAAATTTGTTTATATAATTACTACTAAGGTGTTTTAACATGTAAAAAATAGATTTAATGATTTTTAATAAATTTGAACTAATAATATAAATATTTAAAAATTGTGTTAGTTTAGAAAGATAAACACCCTCAGAAGAGTTTATTTAAACAATACTTAACTTTCCAAATGAGAATCACAGTCTAAAGAACAATTTTCTTATTATCTACTGATAATAGTTTCCATTCATGGAACAAGGAAATTAACAACTCTTACTTGACGTGTCAAAATGTCAACAATCTATTAAAATCTTTATCTACATGCAATTTAATGATTCGGGAGATTTAGAAAATCTCTTAAATTAATTAATCTTAGTTGTAAACTGACTTTTATATTGTACAGAACCATAAGTTATTAATGGATTAGACTTTGCGTGAAATTGGGGTACTAGTATGAGTTGAAACTCCACTATCAACCTTAATATATTGAATATATATAAGATAAATATAACGTGGAATTAAAGTGCTATTTTAAAATATTAAATTTTCAATATGTAAGTCAACTGCAGATATAGCAAATAACGTAGAAAAAGGGTTAGCACTAACTTTTACAATTTAATTTTTTAAAACAACCTGTGTTTAGTTCTAACAAAGCAGCCACTGGCCCACTAATAACTCTCAAATAAATCGTTCTTATTTTCGACGAATAGTTGGCAAAAAAAAAAATTTATTGATGAAACGTAACATCAGTTATAGCCAAACACTTTTTATTTACAAATTTTTAATTTTTCTTTTATATTTTCAAGATAATACATGATTATTTAATTTAAAACTTATAGTGAATTAAAAAAAGAGAACTCATTACTTGTAGTTTAATTTTTTCATAAAAATATACGAAAATGAGAAAAACATAAAATAGATTTTATGTTTATAAACTAAAATTAATTTATATATAATTGAAAAATAGATTTTAAAAAAAGTTATTGATAAATAATTGATATGTATACATTAAGTTTTGATGAATGAACTAAGTCTTTTTGCTAAGATGTGTACATATTTTATCTTCATTAATTATCATAAAAACCATTAAAATTTACATATATTATTGAATAAAAATAAAAAAATACTTTTTAAAGTTGTGATACATTTTCATAAACATAATCATCAATAATTTATAGATATGTTGTACGATAAAAATGGAGAAAATAATTATTTTAAGTTAAATATTAATTTTCATTACTTAATTTAATTTTCATGTAATTTTATATTTTATTAATTAATATTTTATATTATATATTTTATTTTAACGGTGGAAATCGTATTTCGTTTAAATCAAACTATTTAAACACTGATAAATTTCACTAACCCGTAACCGTCGTTGTAACTGCGGTAGCGAACCTTGGGGGAGCTCCTTTTCTTGGCGTCCCTCGCGGTGGACGCCGCCGAGCCTTTCCGGGGACTCTCCGTCGGCAGCGACGTGACGTCCTCCGAAATCGACCCCAGCGACGGCCTCCAATCCGACGATCCCATCCTCTGCTTCTTGCGGCAGGGGCGGCGAGTAGAAACGGCGGCCGTTGGCTCCGATACCAGCGAACTCTCCTCGTCGAGCGGCGGAACGGCCGGCTCCGGCGCACGCTGCGTAGGCAAGCCACAGCATGAAACGAACTCGAAGAGAAACCTCATGTCGATTCTTTTTTCTTTTTCTTTTGCTGATAATTTTTCCTTTTGTTGGAGGAAAAAATGAAAAGAAAAAGAAAAAAGAAATCGGTGGAGTCGGAAGGTGTGTCAGAGAGAGGTTGGGTGTATGCGAAAGAAGAAAAATGGAACGGATTGAACCATTGTTATATTGAAACTGAAGAGAGGAATAAAAAAGTTATTTTTTAGTTAACTTCTTATTTGTGAATGACCGGGTTTTGCTTCGTGACACTGAGAAACCCCATTTTATAGCTACTCTCTCCGTCAATCATTTTGTCTTTATCTGTTGCAACATAGCCCTTTGCCCCTCTCGTTTCACTTTTATTACAATTCATGCCCTTACATGACCTCGTATAATTATTATTTTTTATTTTTTATTATTGCATATTTCTGTTTTTATATATTTTTGTCAGGTTGTGAAATATTTGACAACTTCCTTATGTATCGTAAAATAAATTCAAATATTAAAATGAATCCAAATGAAGTTATTTTACTTAAAACATTAATTTTTTCACTTTTGGTACATGTGTAACCCCACTGATAAACCCTAAACCCTACTTAAATAAAATATCAAATAACACAACTTTCAAAATAGTCTAAGAAATAAGACTTATTCATGGCATCTGAAGTATTAAGAATAATGAAAATGAGTTGAAATAAATAGATATGGATCATAACATTGATTTTAATTTGAAAGTCATATGATTAATTCAAATTTTATTTTACTTTTTATCCTAAGCTTATAACAAAAAAGACACTTAGTTTGACTCTTTTGCAGCCATTAAGGATAAAATCTCCACTTGCTATGACTAAAAACTAAGTTTGTACCAATGAAATCTCTTCTAATTAAATAATGAGTGATGAACACCTTTATTGTAGTTAACAACAACGTGTCACTAAAATAGTAGTGGAGTTTAAGATTGAATACGTGCACTAATCAAATCTCCCATTGAGTTGTCACCATCTGACCCTACCATTACAATGTTCTACTAGAAAATGTTCGCTGTTAACCTATCATAATCTAAACGCTATTAGTATTATCATAAAAAAAAAAAAAAATTAAACATCTTCAAAGAGTTATCGCATAAGTCTTATTGAATAACTTTGAATATTTGCCGTATTGAAATTAATAAAAGTAGAATAGGAATTAAATAATAAGAGAAATACCAAAAGTTTACATCATTTAAATCACTATCTTTATTCTAAAAATATTACTATCATTTGCTTACAAAGTAAAACATCTATTTTAATTTGTTATTATATTTATGTGAATTATATTTATTGTGTTCACTATATCTTATCTTAGCTTTGTAAGATATACCTTAATCATCATAGGGCAAGAATTTGTCGGTAACTTAGTTTTAAGTTTAAATTTTGGATAAAAAATTGTTAAATTATAAAGAAATAAATCAATAATGGATAATTTTCTGTTAGAGAATTTTTATATAAAATTATTTATTTATAAATTATCATTTTGATTTTTTGTTCAGTAAAATAGTTAATTATAAATATATGATTGCAAATAATTTTTTTTTGTATGTTGACAAAACCTTAAATACTCATAAAATATAACTTAATAATTTTACTTTGTTCTAATATGTTTTTTTATAATAATTGATAAGTCTTAAAAATTATTGTATTTATTCATGGTTGCAATTGGTATCTCTTATCACTTTATGATTAATGTATTGTTTGTAGTGAGGAATCCATCTGATGGAGTGAAATAAATAAATAAAAATACGGTAAAAAAAAGATTATTTGGATGAGAAAAAGAAAAGGAATATGAGAAAAAATTATAGTTGATTTGATAAAATGAAAAAATATATTACTTAAATCATTTAATAAAATTATCAAAATATTTTTAATTAAAATCTAATTAGAATGAAGATGAATTAAAAATAAAAATATTAAATATAAAGTAAATATTTTTAAATTTTGAAATAATATTAAATAATTATTCATGACTAAGTTTTAAATTATTTAAATAATTAATTAAAATTCATTTACAAATTTTTATTTGACATATCAATTAAAAAAAGTAAAAATAAAATTATTAAAATACTAATTACACATTTTAAAATTAAAATATAATTTGATCTCAAAAATTTTAAATTATATACATAAGAACTTTTAAAAACTATTACAATTTTAATCATATACATATATTATTAATAGAATATTGGCAAACCAAAATAATAAATAAAATAATATTGAAAAATAGAAAATATAATAATTATATTTTTGAATATTATTTTAATTATTTATAAATATTATAAAAACAAAATAAAAAATTAACTCAAATAAGCTCAAACAAATATAAACTTTTATCGTAAATCATTGGATATCTTTACTCTTACTCTTAAACTGTAGTCAATACAAACATATAACTACGTGTTAAAGTAAACTTGAGTTTGCTAAACTTGTTAAGTAAAATGAATTTTATCTTCAGAATAAAGACATGCACATGCTTTGAGCTTTTTGAATGAAAATTAAAGTCTTTGAAATAAAAACAAAATGATATATTGTTGTGATTTTGTTCCTACTAGACCTCCTACCTGTCCCTTCCCTTTTGAGGAAGGTAGAAGAGATTCTCTTCATCAAGCTTTAGATTCTGTTCTCATTCAAGAACCATTAACATTTCATTTTTAGGTCATGACAAAGACACAACAATAACCAAAACCTTTTCCCACCACAACATCTACGTACAGATGTATACATTCTGAGGTTTTCTGTTCTCATATCATGTGACCATTTCCATTGAGAACACTCCTTTGTTCATTGCCACGTCTTCTTCAAAAAATTGACATGTCTTTTTTTATGTGAATCAGTATCTTTCCCTCCAAAATCAATAAGTACTGGAATCTATTTAAGAGGCAAATCTTTTTCAACAAATTTAATGCTCTTCTATACACAGATATTAGTAATTGAAAATCTAATCACATTTAAAAGATAAAGTCAGTTATCAACTTGTCAATCTGTATTTTTTAATAGAGTTGTTATATCTAAAACAAAGAAAGTTCACATAGATCAATAACTATGAAATTCATTCAAGAGATTATTAACCTTTCTTGAAAATCTGATCATATAGTTATAAGGAACATGATTATGTATCAATTATCGAACACTTTGTAGATAGAAAATTGTCAAGTCTGGAACAAGAAGCCCCCATAACTAAGACTGGTAGGAAATGATTTTGTCTTACACTGAGATAAGGTTGAACTTGGAAGCCGCTGAGAAACGAAAACGCATTTAATTTGATGATTCCAATTCCCCTCAATGAGATGATTCCATTTCCACACAAGGATTTAGATCTATTCTCCAAAACTGTGGTGACAAAGCACTTGAAATTCAAAATATCCACCGTTTGGTTACTCTCAGTATTTGACCTATACTATTCATTCATATTCATGTTGCTTTGACAAGAGGGCATTGCTCTAATACCATTGGCCCATTCCCAAATTGCTTTCATGGGGCTGTGTTAATTTTGGTCCATGTGTGATTGATTGGTAATAATGCTTGGATTTTGAAGTCGTTGGATTATCAAAATTGCACTGTGTTAACTTCATCTTAGACACTCCAATCAAAGTGACAGAAAATGATAGCAAGAATAGTTTGGAAAGATAATATCCACGTAGCCAACATTTTGAAAACAACAACGGTGCTTGCAACTTGATGCATTTGAAAGAGGGTGTTTTAGTTCTATTTATCTGCATTATACATACAAATCATGAATATGGCTGTTTTATGTGTCTGTTACTCATAATTCAACTTGATCCATTCCAGATGGTATCTTATCTTCTTTCTTTTTATCTTTGTCCGAATTTTTCTGACACTACGGTTTTTATTACAAGTTTTTATGCATTGGATTCGCATTTTATTTCACAATATTGAATAAAACTTGATCATACTGCATGTCTGTTGAGCAATTATGCTAAAGTTTTCAGACTTCGCCTTTTCTATTCAGTAAAAAGTTTTATCCATGACATTCTATATCATCGGCATCATATATATATATATATATATATATATATATATATATATATATATATATATATATATATATATATATATATATATATATATATATATATATATATATATATTGTCAAAGTAAAAGTCTTTTACCAATTAATAAACATTAGTGATAGGGATTAATTACTTAATTAATTGTCATCATTACACATAAAACCCTACTATTGAGATGGTTGATACTCACCACCCATTTAAATTTGTATAAGAAAGAATGGATTTTTGAAGTAAATTTTGTATTAACCCACATTTATTACTTGTACATCCTAGTAACTTGATTGCTTTTAATTTCTATATTTTAAAAATAATTATTTAAGTTATTATATTTTTAAAATTTGGTAAGTTTTGTCACTCAATTTAATATCTCAAATTCCATCGACAGAGACAAAATTTACCAATTATAAAAATATATAAGAAAAAATAAATCATCATTTTCAATTTACGAAGTAAAAGTACTTATCTTTTTTAAATGTAGTAAGTTTGTCACTCAATTTAATATCTTTAGTTTCACCGACAGAGACAATTTTTTCAATTAAAAAGTATAAGAAAAAAAAAGCTCATCATATTCAACACACGAAGTAAAAGTAATTTTAACAAAAATTCAAAAATCTAAAATGCATATCACGCTTTAATATTTGCTACTTGTAAGTATTGCACATTTGGATTTTGAATGTTTTATTTAATCATTTTAAAAACAATAGTATGGTCATACATACTTTAATTCAATCATTTTAATTGACGTTATTCAAACTTATTAATATTTTGCAAAATCTGGAACATATTAACAATTTAAAAAAAATATATTGTTAATTGTAATATCTTTCAATTTATATTAGGTAATATATTTTATAATTTTATTATTATTTGTGGTTAGTTACATATTGTGTATAAATATACCAACACATTTAAATCTCCTAAAATTAAACTGGTGCA